ACTGAAAAACATTCACTAAGCATATTTTCTTCAGAAACCATGAATACTGCTTTCCAAGTACTGCTCACTAATGTTTTCCCATAACAGTCCTTGTGGAGATGTCAACATCCCTAACACAAACAGTATCTCAGTATCCGTTTCCAGCCTGAAATATGGCTCTTAAATAGACCAAACCCACAAATGCACAAAAACGCAAACTAACCAAAAAGCTGGTCCAGAGCAAGCGCATGGAGGATTCGAGAAGCTCCTATCATGGAGCACATAGCAGCTGAGAAAGACGCGCAGTACACCCCAATCGTCACGAATGGAGGCCACACGCTCACCCGCTGAAACACTGCGTAATCATTGATTAACAACAACCTGAGAGAGAGACCAAGAAATGACAGGAGGAAAAAGTAGAGATAAATGAGAGGGAGAACAAAGCACTGTGTAAACACTTTGTGCAAATTTCCGTGTGGCTTGAGTGTCGTAAATGGCACCTGTCACAGGTGGAACTCAGGAGCAGGAAGAGAAGCACATAGACAGTGAAGGTGTACGACACCGCCATGATGGTCCCTTTAGGTATCGACTCACTGGGGTTCTTCAGCTCACCTGAGAAAGTGAGACAAATCAAATTACATGTTTATGACACTCATCCATTATACAAGTGTTATCAATATTGTAAAAATCAACACGATTAGATCAGAAACCAAAAAGAGGATGCAAATAAATAAAGCTTTCTGCGGTTGTCTGGTTTTGTACCCGACATGTTGGCTCCTGCCATGATGCCTGTGCAGCTGGTGAACATCACGGCAAATACAGTGGCGAAAGACATCATTGTGTTGGTACTGTAGTCCAGAGAGTAGTGCGCTACAGGACGAGACATTTGGACAAAATTCATGGCAGTGAAGCAATTATATAAATTAACGGAAACAGTTTTATGCTAAAAATTTTAATTAGAGGAGACATTTTTCATCTTAAACATTTATCATCTATTCAGTTTAAATCTCTCTAATATTTTGAATTGTGTTAACCAGAAATTAGCAGTAAAATTGTACAAGTTTATGGCTAATGTCTGTATTTTAATAAAGTTTTTTATATTTTAATACATATAAAAATCTAATTCTTCACAGATTTATATATCAGCCAGACTGATAACCAACAAATGGCAACACAAGTAATCAGCGCTTCATTTTGTTAGAGCTAGAATCAGCTTTTGTCTGTGTAAAATGTTGATTTGAGAAATTGTGTCTCATTAATTGCCATTAAATTAGATTTACATACACACTGTTCAAATATGTGGGGTCAGAAAATGTGATAATACAGTAAACATTTCAGAAAATACAGTAAAAACAGTGGTATTGTTAAGTATTATTACAGTAAACATACAGTAAACTGTGTTGACAAAGCCAAATTTTCAGCAGCATTCCGTCAATCTTATTACTCATTTGCTGCTCAACAAACATTTATCATTATTATCAATGTTGAAAACATTTCTGCTGCTTAATATTTTTGTGCAAACTGCTAATATTTTTTCAGGGCTGTTCATTGAATAGAACATTCAAAAGAACAGCATTTATTTGAAAAAATTTTTTTTACAACAATGTAAAAGTCTTTACCCTTACTTTTGTTACAATTCAGTGCAACCTTGCTGAATAAAAGTATTCATTTCTTACTGACCCCAAAAAGAAAATCTTACTGACCCCAAACTATTGAACGGTAGTGTACATACATAGTATATACTGTATAGGAACAACACATTATACAAATTCCCTTTGTCAGTAAACCAAAATGTTCCTATGAGGAATAACCATTTTTATTGTGTTTTCTTTTTTTAATGTCATTACTGCCCAATACACTTTTTTTTTGTTCACTAAATGTTTCATCTAACACACAACACAATCATGATCAGTTTCATTTCCCTTTTATGTCTTTTGAAATATAACTGCTAAATAGCCTCAATGATCATCATCACAACCATCACTATCACTATTGCATTAACAATCATCTTACTCACGTCCGAGGTTGTTTTTTAACGTAGTGCTGTTGAAGCCTGTGTAGCTGGGGTTGACAGTGACAGTGTGGTTGTTGCCGTATGTGTGTGTGATGTTGAAGTGCTGTGGACGGAGTATCAGGGGGCTGATGATGATAGAGATCAGTGACACCGTCACCACCAGCAGAATGATAAAAGAGGCTTTGGCGTAGATATGAGCACCAACCAGACACACCACCAGACATAGCAACAGCACTAGAGAGGAGTACAACACGGTGTACCAGTAACCCTGCGGCAACACACGCAGCCCATGTGACACAGCAGAGCCTGGAGAGAGAGAAGAAAAGAGATGCTTCAGTGTAAAAACACAAGCCATATGCATGCAATTGCTTCAAAGACAGTTTAGTACAGTGTGATTCAATGCACCACTCACCTGGATCCTTCCCAAAGATGTCCAGTATGGCCTCCACCAGGCCGAGCACATAAACGCCACACGCACATACCTTCGCCAAGTAAAACATCAGGCCGATACTGCCTCCAAACTCTGGTCCCAGAGAACGACTGATCATAACTAAGACTAAAGAGTTGAAGGTCAACAACATTATTCAACCACTGATGAACAACAGATTCACATATGATTGAGTCTGCAATTCTAGCACTCTATATGGCACAGAGATTGGTTAAGGATACAGTAGGCCCCGCCCCCTTCCACTGCACCATTAGTTGAAATAGCACATATAGACAGGATTGTCAAGGAGATGATGAAGTAGGCCACAAACAGCATTAGGAAACCATGGAGAAGACCAGCATGACCCACAACAAAACCTGCAAAATCGACATAGGCCTACACTGTATCAGAATGAATAATGTACAAAAAAAAAACACCTAGAGCCACACAGAGGGAGGATACTTTATCAAGTCTCTGATCATCAACTTCTGTCTTTTCCCATCATTCTCCCTCACCTGTGCGAAGAAAGAGCACAATACTGAACATGGAGAGGATGGTGGGCACCATGACGCCAAAGAAGGTATTGAGTTTGCGGGGGTTTGATTTGGGGGCTCCCTCTCCTGTCACTGCTGATCCACCCCTGGAATCTTTAGTATCACCCATCATGCTGTACACCCCGTGAACAAGCAGAGGAGAGTGCTCGTTTGCCATGGTCTGAAAAACAGGAACCTGCAATAAAAAAAACATTTGAGTGTTTCCTGGATAGTACATACAAACCAAAATAAGATTATTATTACTACACACACATTCATAATATATACACTACAGAACATTTGGGGTCAGTAAAGTTTTTTTTAATACTTTCATTCCTCAAGGGCACATTAAATTGTTCAACGGTGACAGTAAAAACGTTTACATTGTTACAAAAGATTTCTATTTCAAATAAATGCTGTTCTTTTAAACTTTCTATGCATCAAAGTAAAAATTTTAAGTAAAACAACTGTTAATTATTATAATGTTAATTATGAGAAATGTTTCTTGAGCAGCAAATCAGCATATTAGAATGATTTCTGAAGGATCATGTGACACTGAAGACTGGACCGACCAATGGTTGCTGAAAAATCAGCTTTGCCATCAGAAATAAATTACATCTTAAAATGCATTTTTTAAAACAGAAAACTGTTTTATTTTAAATTGTAATAATATTCCTGTTTTACTGAATATTTGATCAAATAAATGCAGGCTTTTGAGCAAAAGAGACTTCTTTCAAAAACAAGTTATATTGTGTATTTTTGTTGTTGTAATATAACTTTTTTTTTTAAATCAGCATAATTAAAATGATAAAAAGCAAATCCATGATTATTAGATTACTTACTTATATATAGGTTTTTTTCTGTGCTTTCAAAAATATCTAGCCGATGGATTTAGAGCTGTAGTCACCATAAATGTCAATGACTTCATATCCACGACTCTTTTCAGGCCTGTAAATGTTCTATTCAATCGACTTTTCCATGGAAACCTTGAGACTGCAAGACCTTGGTCGCCTATTGAACCGCGATTTTAAAACGTTACATCTTTCTAGTAACGGAAGTACACGATCATGTAAACAATCCGAACTACGCGGTTGAAAAGCGATTGTATTACGGTCCTATACAAGTAAAGATAATAATGTGACTATAAAAATACCACGGTGCTGCTAAACTAACATCCGAGTAGTTGTCTGAATAAACTAGCAGACATTAATCCCTGAAAAGGCAGCTGGCATTTCTAGATGAGACCGCCACCTCCCTAAGCACTCAAGGATGCCTGTGCGTTTAAGGTTATAATGACACATATAACGGTGAAGTACAGTAAGGAGATGGAGAAGCAAACATGACCTACCTATTCTTATGAACAACAGCGGCGACGCCAATCTAAAAGCGGTATGTAACTTCCGCTTTTAGGAAGAAACTACACAAACCACAAGGAAGCCAAACTACTCGTTTTGACAATGTGGATGCAGGATGTCCTGAAACCGATATGTTTCTTCAGAGCATCATGTCGAGTTGGTTTCGTTTCTTTAAAGAATCGCAGGTGGAAAGTTTTCGTCTGCAGCCTCAGATCTCGTGATCATCAAACCCCCGGGACATGACGGATGAGGAGCGCGCTGTCTATCAACAACAGACAGCAAGACCTAATAAAAACATAACTCTATTATGTAACGGTGCATTGAGAGGTAATGATCCCGTATTCTCACACTGCAGCAGGGCTGGACTGTCCCGCCTGCCTGCCTGCCCCTCAGTTTGTTAAAAAAAAAAGTCACGGGACAGATGAAGCGCCCATGTGACTTCACAGAGAGGACTGCTGAAATATCACAAGTGGAAGACGATTTTGAGTTGACCATGAGAGAACCGTGTTGTTTACTATTTGATTCGTTATTTAAAAAACTAAATGTTGATCTGATATTAAACCAAGTACCACACACACCCATTTCTTAATTTTAGGTTGCATCAAGAACACTATGCAGGCCCACTTAAAATGCAAAAAAAAGAGCACTATATAAAATCTTAACATGGGCATGGGTGTAGTACTTTCTGCCTTTATTTGTCAGGCTATAATTTATACTGATGCATTTACACAAAGTACAAAAATAATTAGTTTCAGTTCTGATTTGTGCAGGATGCACATTTTTGTGTGATGATCAGCGTGAGTAAAATCAAGCCTCAAGACCAGAAAAATGCCCTATTGTGAAGGTTTAATCATAGCTGGAACCCATTTAAATGTTTTGCACTGTCACATTTGCATTGTTGTTTTTATGCATGAAAACAACTCATTATAGTTATGGTTATGCTGCACTGTGGTTGATGTATTTTGTACATATTAATCTAAATGAATTGTGTGTGTGTGTGTGTGTGTGATGGACAAACTGTTTACACAATCAGGCAAATATATATCTTCCAATATACCTCCAATTGTTTTTGGACCAAACTGTTACTGAACAAACTTTATCTGTGATGTGTTTTGTGCCACAACATATTCTCATAAAATGTCTTCTCGGATGTCGGATGTCTTCTCTTCACTTTTACTGAATTAGACATGTGCTGGTATTTGGTAACACGGTACATTGTGGGAATGAACATACAGTATTGTAATCATGCACACTTCAGAATACAGTGGATAATTCTGGGTACCTTGTTTTCTGAATTGTAAAGACTTTTAGACTGCACATTAGCTTATTTTTTTATCAACCAGTTAAAATGTATGACACTGCATGACATGTATGCTGCATATGAAATAAGTCTGATTTTCACTTTGATCTGAAGTTTTGAAAAAAAAACGCAAACAGGCCAAATGGAAATGCAAATTCATGCTCTGACAGTATGTGGCACTTACAGAAAAGCAGAAATACAGTGGTTACCCATGTACACCAAGTAATGCTATGAAAATTCCTGTTTCTGAACTGAAGTCAAACAGTATTTAAATGCTTTCAAAACAACCACTCAGATTTTGTATTTGCTATGGTGTTTATAATAACACCAAATATTGAGTATTTAATACTAAGCGTTATATAATACGCATTTGTTTACAGTTGTACATTTTAATCTGGACTAAAACACACTAGCCCAGAAAATATATTTGGATAATGGTTAAAAATCTTTTAATTTGTTGTTATTGTCCCTTATAGTGGTGCTCTTTTGTACTTTAATCAGTTTGAAACACGTTTAATTTATAATTGTTTTGTTGTTTTAATATATTTTTAATGCCCCTGATTTGAGAATATTTAAGAGGATAAGTTTATCTTTTCAACCTGTTTTTGTAACATCATTGAATACCAGCAGATAATACCGTACCAGTTTCCACAATTACCATGCTTTGAAAATACCGCCACATGCCTAGACTGAATCCAAAGACTGTGTGTTGAGATGTGGCCAGACATAGGAGGGTCCGGCTGGGAGGAGAGGGAAGGTGGGATTGGCCACCGGAACAAATGTGGGTGAGTGTTTGAGTCTGTGCTTTTTGAGTTGACCGAGTTCTCTGAAGCAGCATCCACACTCAGCACAGCGGTACGGTCTCTCTCCTGTGTGAATGCGCTGGTGCTTGTGTAAGCTGTCCAAATGGCGGAATCGCTTCTCGCAGTATCTGCAAGGATACGGGCGCTCTCCTGTGTGTATGCGCTGGTGCGTTTTCAAGCAGTAGAAACGTCTGAACCCTCGGCCACAAATGTTACAGCGGTGCACTTTATCAGGGCTCTCGATAGTCCTGCTGAACCCAGAGTCACTACTAACAGGTGCAGCCAAGGCCAGCAAAGCATTACCATCACTCTCCCGCATCGAAGGCGAGGAGATTTGCGCTAACTCTTGCATGGAGTTGGAAGAAGATGCTACAGCTAGATTTGATGAAGGAGGCTCTAATGTAAGGGAATCAGGATCCTCTTCGATTTTAATGGTGCCCTGTTGGACTTCATCAGAGTCCTCCATCACCTGTATCAGCTCCAGCTCATTAACATTCCCAGCTGGCGTGCTCATTTCAAACTCAAACTTTGTCATGTCAGATGGATCCTCTGGTGGGTTTGCGGAGGGGTCTGGATTTTCTGGTTCCTCGTGTCTCCTCTCACTGTCTGTTACTGCAGAACAGTTGTCTGTAAAACAAGGAAAAGCTCATGTTCATATATTTTTAGCATGTGAAATGCCTTTTCTTTTTTTTTTTAAAAAAAAGCCCCATTTAGGTTGTGGTACTCGTATTGTTTTGCTGCGAAATCTCATGATTTTGAAGAAATAAAAACTAAGTATAACTTTCATATTGTTATTAAAATTTTAAGTTAAACATTTACTGGACTGAAGCAGCTTATGTTTGCTTGATTAACCACACATTTTTTGAAAATCATGTTAAAACAACTTTTGAGGCTTGTTTATTTGTATATCTCAATCATCATTGCATGCAATTATGTTTTGTCCTCCACATTTAAAACTTCAGAGATTTGGTCATAATATGATTGAGTGACAAATGATATTTACATGCTAGTAGTCTGTTATATTGTTATAAAAGTCCCAACTGATTTATAGTGCAAGCTATCAGAATTTCATTTAAATAATATCTGCATCAAATTGCATATTTTCAGAAACTTTTTTTTAAAGATTTAAAAAAAATATTTTGTCTAAACGGTTCTTTTTCAGATCAAACTTTCTCTTACTATTATGTCAGACTGTGCAAAATTGATAAACATCTATGGCTAATGCTCTGTGGTCACACTTGCTTGGCAGTATTCTACTTGCAAATGGTAAAAATAATAACAATGAACCTTTTTCACCCTCATTAGTGATGTAAAACGGGCCCTCTGGCTCATCTTCTGGTTTGAAGAGAGCAGCATTGTTTTCCACAAGAGTTTGTGAGGTCGTGGGGTCACTCGCGAGCGCTGAACTGTTGCCTCCTGAGGACCCTCCTCTTGCCTCTCTGCGGTTGACGCACTCCCGAGGCCAGTCTGACTGCACCGTGGGGAGACAGAGGCCAACACTAGGGAGATTTTTGGGATTTTGGGTTCTTCCCGGTGAGTTTCGGAAGCTCTTGCGGGAGGAATCTCTGCTTTGCGCCTGTAATGTGGGGCTTCCGTCCGCAGCGCGTGACGGAATCACAAAAAGTGCGTCTTCTGCGTTTGGGCGCACGATATTTGACCCGAGCTGGTTTCTGTTGAGAAGTAAACACTGTTTGATATTCTTTTCAGCCGCGGTCATGTAGTAGCGCACTGCTTTCAGCTCGCTCTCGGAGATCTCCAGTCTCTCGCGCAGGGTCTGATTCTCTCGGTGCGACTCTGCCGCTGCGTTTCGAGCCACGGCCAGCTTTATGCCAACAACTCGCGCCGTTTCTTTTAAAACCGTTTCGACGGCGCATCTTACCGCCTGGTCGATAGTAGAGGCGAGTTCGCACTTGAGAAAAGAAACGCTGATGTCCATGCTCAAAGTCATGGTTACGATCCACAGCAGTATTTCACTGCGAGATGTAATGTTGCATACGTGATTGCAGAGCTCAGAAGAGGCGGCTTGGGTTTCTGTTTTAGCTAAGCGAGGACTAGAATAGAATAGTTTACGGCCTCACTTCCATCACTAGTGTAGTACTTCGATAATGCTATCTGGTTGTGATGTAAAAGTAAGAGCAACCCACAAGTGTTTGGTAAATCTTCCTCAATCTGTCGCGTGCTGCTGTCGTCAGTGTCGAAGAATAATGACGTCAATAGCAGCCTGGGATTTGGAGTTTTCGTTAGGAGTGAATTAAGACGTTCTGTTCATCAGTAGTTGATGATTCACATTATATATAGATTTTTAAAAAGTTATTTATGTTAAGTATATAATTGGATCCATACAATAATGAATGGCCTTTATATAGAAATGGGAAAAAATGGAATATAATAGTTTTTGAGAGATGTTCTGTTATGCGTTCTCCTTTAATGCTATAGTCAGAGAAGAATAGCAAAAAGAAAAAAACCCTGGATTTTTTTTCTACAACTGCCTGTCCAGAAAATCTAATCTCAAGGAAAGAACAGATGTGTTGCATAAATTATGACTGCACAGGTTTATATAAAAAAAACTTGCTTTAAATATGAAACTTCTGTCTTTGTGTGACCTTTACACTACTGGCCATTGTTTGATTAAACACACAACAGGGTTAAACATTAGAGGGAGCTTGCAGCAGAACACTAGGTTAATCACTGCTTCTTCATTCAAGTTTTGTTTGGATTAAAGGTTAAACAACATCTTTCTAACGTTTCAGAGAATACTGTGTATTTGGTTTCATTTCATTTTTTTCTTGCACGATTTATTTTTTCATTGCTGGAAACAAACAATTAATTCATATTTCCTTAGCATTTACATATTTACTTATTTAACACCTTCTCTGATTTATATTGTGGCCTTAGTTCAAATAATGGCTAATTTTGGACAGCAATTGTTTTTTCTTGTTTTCTTTTCCCCGACATGCTGTAAGAAAGAGCAATAGCGTACTCTAGAGGTTGACAAATGGAAAACACAAACTCTATTTATTTTAGACTCAGTGTTGTTGCACCAAAATCTGGTCGTTCTGACACCAGAATGTGAACCCTTCCCTTTCTCTGGCGTCTGTGAATCTGAGCCCTGTTTAGCCCATGTGGAGAGGAGTGTGATCACACTACACTCCTCATCTTCTTCACCCATCTCATCTGTTGGCAGAAATATGTTTAAAGCTTTTAAATACATTTCTATGCATTTTATTGCTTATAGTCATAGTAATCATAGACTGGATAAGATACATCTACCTAAGTGGCTATGAATATATGTCTGGAGGATTAATGCAGAACAGTTCATGTCCATCCTTGCATGGGTCTGTGAAAATGGTGTTGCTGGGCAACCCATCTACAGCCTACAGTCCCTTATGGGGAGTAGGGCAGGTGGAATGTACCATCACTACATTTGGGGAGGGGGGTATGCATGCTGACTAAATTCTGCTGGCCATAATGTGTGGGGCAGTCTAATGGTGCAGAGTTGTAGATATAAATGAAACAAATAAATCACGGTTTGATATTAATTCACAGCAGTACAGCATAGACAATCCAGTCATAAATTTTAATACGGGCCAATCAGCAAGTGCACAGTAGTATAATCTGTCTGCCCCTCCCCTCAACTTGTAATTATGGCAGGTGTAATTAGGAGTGTGTCTCCGGTGGGTGGCAGCTTATGTCTCTAGAGAGAAAGTGTGCATTGCATTACTGAGTGCCCTTACATGGGAATTTTAATTACAGCTATAAGTAATTTGAGAAAGTGTCGGTGAACATATCTGGATAATAATAGATGTTGGGTATTTTTAGAAATGTTTTGAAAAATACTGGAAATAAATGTATCATTAAATATGTTCAATAAAAACAGAAAAGGCATACCTGATAAGTGAAAATGTATACATTTTAGTAAACTACGCAATCGTTTGAACTTCTGGCATAATGTGAGTACAGTCCAGTGGGTGTTGCCCTGTCCGCCTATTATAATCTTTAAAAAAAAATATATATATATGGTTAGTTTTTTTACGCACACACACACACACACACACACACACACACACACACACACACACGCTCTCTCTCTCTCATTATAAAATCTTACTAATGTGTTTTGGAGGCCAAGCACCAGCCATAAATATTTCTATAAAATAGGATATTTTACAGGAATATATTATCAAATAAATATTCCTCTCTCTCTCTCTCCATATTGCTTTGGCAACATTGTGCTATTCCACAGTCTTGCCAATAAAGCTCATTTGAAATGAATGGAATTGAATTGAGAGAGAGAGAGAGAGAGAGAGAGAGAGAGAGAGAGAGAGTAAAATATTTATTTTATGGCTGGTGCTTGGCCTCCAAAACACATTAGTAAGTTTTTATAATGAGTGTTATTATCAGGTAAGGCAGAAACTATTAACTATGTGAAAAAAAAGTAACTAAAGAACACCAGTGAGTAATTATAGCTTAATTAAGTTGGTAGCAAAACTGTAATAAAAGCACATACTGAGACTAATTAACGGCACTTCCAAATACCCCGACCTACTGTTGGAGCCTTCCCCTCAGTCATTATAATAGTTTGTTCTCCTTTCTCAGCTCCGTTATGTTTCTTATGGCAAATCGCGTATTTTCGACTCTTCTTGCGCGATCTGGCAACACTCCGCTCAGGAGCGCATTCATAGCCATTGAGCAGCGCGTATAGGGGAATTCTGTCAAATGTCACTGTTTTCTCCAAGTCATTTATTTGTCATCTTACACAAAGGTTTAAATTGAGATCTACTTATTCTCGTTTCCACATTTCACGAAAGACCTGCTATTTAGCTTTAGCGGCCTAAACTCGAGCGTGTTCCAGTGTGAGGTGCTGTTCATCCCCCTGGTTGGCAGTTTGGCGGTGGAGGTCTGCGCTGCAGTGGTACATTCGCAATAAAATGGGTGTGGTTGAATCGCGCATATGTGATGCTACGTGTTTCTGGTGCAGACCGAATGATTTCATACGGGACTGAATTGACAGCAGAGCGAGCGCACATTATTTGAATTATTTAGAAAACTACTGTACGGTTGTTTATGTTGAATTCACCCCGCCTCCTATTCTGGCACAGTCATATTTAACCGATGGACGGGTATGCTCCTCCGGAGAGATAACCAAGTCGATTTTGGTTACTTTATTTTAATTTTTTTAAAGGGCCACGGGGTGCCTCGCGTTGTATTGAATTGGTCGTTTCTTGGACGAGGAGCGACGGTCAAAACGAAGAGACCAGAACGAGAAGACGGAGGAAGAAGACACTGGAGGGAAGAGGCGAGGATCAAGCAACGCAATTTAAAGACAACGACGGCATGTACTTCATTTGAAAGCTTTACTGTATTTGGACTTATTACATCTGTCGGTAATTATACAATATAAGGCGCAAAATAAGCTTGTTTCCCCCAGTAGCAACGTGTATCAGGAATACTGTGGAAAAGGCTTCTTCCCATCCTCACTAAACGATCAGAGGGCGACATGGTAGCTCCATACTTCATGATAACATCGTTTTGATTCGTTTAGCACATGAAACACAGAGCCACTGAGGCCTAACTAGCACTAGGAAAAACCCGACAGTATGCCGTTCTAATCATTTTCCAGCAGAAAAAAACAATTCCCTGCGAATTACTTCCGCCACCCACTTCAGCATTCCAGTCACTTTACGCGGAGACTAAAGCCAAACAGGAAGATTAACAGGTAGGCCTATATTAATTTCTAAGATTTATCAGAATGTTGTGACCCACACGAGACATATGGATGAAAAGGAGGAAAGGCATCAGAGATCTAGACGATTAAAATGGTTCGTGTTAAGTTGTAATGTGTTATTTTCGATCATTTGGGATTTTACTGGTTTTGTCACAAAATCACATTAGTGGATTGTTAATCACAATCAATAGGAATATCATGGAGATTATATATCACATTACATCTGTTTTTAAAGGTGCTGCATGTCTCATTTTAGCCGTGAGTCGTGAATTGATGGAGCAGAAGACTCCTGTTCTTCAGCTGGCCGCAGCCTCCAGCGATTTACTCACGCCACAGCTCTGATTATGGCAAGCTGCTTCAACATTTACTGCTTTACACTAAATATATTTATTCACTATTGTAAATGACTAGTAATCAATCTAATACTGACTACTATCATTTTAACTTTCACTAGATACTGAATCCACTAAATAGCCTACTGTTCACTTCATACTAGTATTCATTCCAGTCGGTACATATTCCTGTATTCACGATTCAGTGGGTACTACTCTTGTTTTTGCTTATCTGGGATAGTTATTAGGATATATTCCAGCTTTACCAGTATATATGTTTTAAATATTTGTTTATAAAAAAAACACTGGTATTTAGTTATCTCACTATTGACACTTGCTTTATTGCTTCTCATATGTAATATCTAGCCAGAACGGCTACTTTATTGTTCATTTCAAATCTTATTAGTAGACAAACATTTTTTACTAGTACCAATTTGAATACACTGTCATGTCTAATAAACGGGTACTAATGTTTGATTAGTTAATACCAGAAAAACTGGAGAAGAAACGGCAAAAGTAACTAAAAAATAAGTAGTGAGTAATGAAGTTACTAGTAAATTAGAATAGGTATCAGTATATATTGGAATACATACTAGTTCTGAACCCCAAATCCCAATATAAGATACTAGTAAGTACTTAATTATGTGCTAATGATAAAAAAAATTAGCATCACATATTGATACTAGTCAGTTTGTATTAAGGATAACTTGTTAAAACGGCTTGCCATATGCAAATGTCAGTAGCATGATAAAAGAGGACGTTCGTAAGTCTGTTGTTCTGGGCGTAGGATGAGCTGACTGAAATATAAACGTAACCCATGTGACCAAGCAAACGCACGTTTTGCAGCTGTCTCCCGGGTTTAAAAGGATGCTTGGTTTAAACAGGTTGCGGTTTCAGTGAAAACAGCGGTTGGTGCTAGTATACGATAGAAATGCCGCTTACGTTACTGCTTTTCTTGCTGTATGCAGAGAGTACATATGTCACTCTGCATTCAGCTGTAGGGGTGGGGCAAAGTCTGACATTTTTTTTGTAGTTCATGCTAACAGAACTCCAAGGACACAAATCCAACGAGCATATTATTAGTGTTGGCAATTTTGTATGGGTAATGGAACGCTGATTTAACCCAAAATGGTTCTGTACACCCGCCATTCTGCTGCAACCTGACGACAGAAGCCGGATGCAACATGCTGGTTTTCCACATCTCATCTGTCTGTTTACGAGCGTCTGTAAAATAGTCATAGAAAACATTTTTACCTGTATTTTATGGCGACGGAGAAAATATTTGCCTACTCCAAGGCGGTGGCCTTGTTACTGCTTTCAATTTGGTGCTTATCAGCTGACAACCCCCTCCAGTCATATTTAATGTACGAAGTCGTATTATTTTACATAGTGCTGACAATAATATAGAAAAAGAAGATAAAAACAGTAGGTTAATAAATATATAATGTTTTATCCTAAGGCTATTTCTAACCTATATTTAGCTGATTTCAATCACTATACATCAGTCTATAAGGCATTGTGGTGCACTACTAACCAACCCCTCTTTCCTTAACCAGCTGCTCATGCTTGAAGACCTTAAAAGGTGCAGAAGGGGTTTTAGTCATCTAGATTAGCCAAGATTCCTCAGATCTAAGCCATTTATATCTGAGTAAAAGGTTTTGCGGGTAAAATGGGATTATACATCACCGCTGCTTCTTTCTCTATGATGGGTTGTGATGTAAGTTTTCAAGTGGGTGTGTGTGGCTTTTATGCTCTTTGTGTTGAGTTTCCTCACAGATTGATTCTTATACATGGCTTCATTTCTTTCTTCCTGCTGTGATGTGTTTTTGTGTGTGTGTTGAGGGAGTCAAGGCTCTCTAATAAATATGTGTGGTACGGGGGTAATAACAATCATTTTTGCATCCGTGTCTCATACAATAGTCATACTGAGATCTGTGGGTTATAACTGGAAACATGCAAAGTAGAACTGGTTATAAGGTCCAAAAGACTATGGGATTGGTTGATGATTTGTTATATATTTGACTGTGAAAAAAAAACGCATGCAAAAATCCTGTGTGTTTTTGCATGCCAATTTGAATGTGTAACCTCATGTATGGTTTCAGGTCAGGCAACCTATTCTTTCTCTTATTTCAATTCAATTAAAATAACAATATTGGCAAGCCAAAAGTGCATTTAGTAGAGAAAGCAGTTTAGAAAAACAGAGTGATTGAAATTGACATTTTAAATCTGATACACACAATTTGATGTACCATAAATGATAACCCTGATCTTGTTTCTGTGTTTGGAATGGCTCTCGGAACATTAATCCTATTATATTAAAGATTGTTAGCCAGATTACACCAGATTAAAGATTATGCAGTACTGTTAATCTAAACCCTGCAGCATATCTGCACAATGAAATTATCAGTATTAAACACATCTTTGATACATGTTTTTACAATAAAAACGTATAACCAAAGATTATAAATCTTATAATCAAGATTTTTCACTTTCAAACTGCAATGTAACATTTGTATTATTTTGCTCGTCAGCTCGTCAAACCTGCAAACTGTCTGTCTATGATTCTTCACGGGGTTCAGCTTGAACCCTGTGGCCTCTAATGTTATTCATACATCATGTTTTAATCTACAGGTGTCTGAGGGGGTGAGAAAGGTCAGAGGGTAAAGGTTAAAGGTCATTTCAAGATGAGTGAGCTCGAGCAGCTTCGACAGGAGGCTGAGCAACTGCGCAATCAGATCAGAGTGAGTCCTAATACTGATACTGCTAAAAATAAACTGCGTTGGGGTCCTGATCACCATGTCCGGGTTTATGTTGCATTAGGGTTACATTATCCCTTACATATAGTAATGATCAAAATGAGTGTTTATAATGTCAATGTTAAACATACTTGAATGAAATTCTATTTATGGAAAAATCTGCACTGATCCTCATTTTCTAAATGCACATTCAGAGAAAACTGTTTGTTTATTAAATGCCATGCCAACTTCTGTTGCTGTTTTCATGGCAAAACCATACCTGCGTTATAAAGTTTAAATTAGAAGCTAAATAAGACATTTAAAAACCATTTTAACTAAATTATAAAACCAATTTAGACTTAAAGTTTTTCAAAGGGAATCAACAGAATAAAACCCATAATCTAATCAATTTCAGGACTGTCAGGGTTGGTGTAGTTACCATGTTTGGCTTTTAGAGCCGTATGGATGCCATAAACAATTTCTAGTGATGCTATAGTGGCTTCCCTTATACTCCACTCAAAATTAAGTGTGCATTTGGATATCCTGATTACTTTAAAAACAGGTCATATCATACAAATGGTGACGATGCAATGATTCACCTAACACTGTCTTCTGTCCCTCAGGATGCCAGGAAAGCATGTGGAGACTCCACACTCACTCAGGTGAGATGTAATTACATGTAGGACCCGTATGATGTGACCTCCAGAGGTCTGTGGGTTTTCACTTATGTGGAGTTTGTCTGTGTGGTAGATAACAGCAGGCCTGGACCCGGTGGGGAGGATACAGATGAGGACGAGGCGCACACTGCGTGGGCATTTGGCTAAAATCTACGCCATGCACTGGGGCTCAGAATCCAGGTATCTTTATCCTCAACCTTCTAACAATTCACCGCTCACACCTGGCATCAAAGAGAACAAAAAAAAATTGAAAGTAGCAGATGAGCATGACTCAGTGGTTTGTGCCTTGGCTTTGGTTTTGCACCTGTTGACAGCACAGAAAACAATGAACAACACTGACCCACATGTTAACCAATCTTTGTTGGCTAATCATCTGCGGCTGCACTACTGTCACAATGGAAACACATTTCTTTAAAGCAGCACTATGTAACTTTTTCTGTGTTCAAAAATAGCAAAATGTATATAATGAGCGAGTACATCATGAATTTATCTTCCAAACCGCGTTTTTGTCTTATTCCGAATCACTACGGTACACTTATAATAAGTACTTATATTTGGACTATTGTATTCAGAAGCGCAGATTGTCATAGCAAAGTCAGAATTACCTTCTCTCCTAGGTTCATGAAACGGTCGTCCATAAAATGCATTGCTGTTCTGTTGTAAGTCATCTTAAAGATTCCTAAATGCATCTACTTTCGGAAGGCCAAATAAAGTGCTTTTGCGTTCGCCTAGAAACACAGCGTCTCCCTGACATGGCTGCTTCAACACTAACTGCGGTTACTGAAACCACGCCTTCTTTCTTTGTGTGCACATTTTGGCAGCATTATGCAAATATTTCCACATAGTGAGGTAGATATGTGGGGGCGTGTTAGAACGAGCCGTTTTAGGGGGGGCTTGGCAGAGTCTTAACTTTGATAAAGAATATGTCTTTGGTTTTGAGACTTTAGTCTTTGCAACTTCAGGGATCTTATCTATGCACAATCAGCTTGTAACACTCCAAAGAGAAAGGAAAACTTGAAATCGCATCATATGACCCCTTTAAAGACATAATTTTTGTAAACTGTACTATATTCCAAGGACATATTGCACTAGAGTCATCTTTACAGTCTCATGTCCATACACAGCCCATATTTTTAACTATGTCTCATTTTGAAGGTTGTGCCCCCCAGAGATCGCATTTGTCAAAATTGGACTGTTATTTCTTATCTTTTTATTATTGTAATTTCTTTCTTACTTTGGAATGTAATGGTTACCTTTTCTGAAATGAGGCATCTTCGATAATGTATGCGGCCAAAAAAAGTGACTTTCTATAAACTCATTCTGTTCTATAAACTCAATACAACAATAACATCATTATCAGTTTTGAATTCAAAATATTACTTTATTAATTTTACTACATAATGAAATATACTGTTTTTATATAATATTATTAGTGCTGGGCAACGATTAATCGCATGGGAAATTTTTTTTTTGTTTACATATATGTGTGTGTGTACTGTGTATATTTATTAAGACACACATACAGTATATATTTTGAATGTATTATATAAATATATTTAATATATAAACATAACATATTTTTCTTAAATATATACATGCATGTGTGTGTGTGTATTTATATATACATAATAAATATACACAGTACACACACACACACACGTATATTATATAAACAAAACTTTTATTTTGGATGCGATTAATCGTTGCCCAGCACTAAATATTATCTAAGGGCTGTATATCGTCATTGTTGTTTGTTATCTTAGGCTATTGGATTAGCACGCTAACCATAGAGAATGCATTAGTGAATTTTAGACCAGCAGGCTAATTGTTAATCAGAAAATCACAGCAATTTGTTGCTTTGCTCATATGTTGTAATACCATTAAATTGCATTAAAATCCAAGGGGATTTCTGGCAAGTTAATTTGAAAGCGACTAGTTTAAATTAAAGGTGCTGCAGTATACCAGCCAAATGTGTGCCCTAAGCAAAAAAAAAAAAAGAAAAAAATCACTAGAAATCAGTTAAAAGTTGCCATTTTTTGCCCTACTTGCTAGTACCCTACGCAGACCGCATACTCTCAATATAGGGAGCAGTGGTACTGAAAAAACATATAAACCTGCAAGCGAATATAAGCTACTTGGTGATTCAATTAATTTTTTCTTGACAACTAGCTGAATTAAGTAGGAGTGCAGCTGAAAGCTGTAAGCTCAGTTTATAAATTCAAAGTAACTCTTTAAATACGTGTGGCGTGAACTTTCAGTAAGACCTCCTGGCCATTTCCCTGTCTTGTATTCTCTTGCATTATCTATAATAATATATGTCCATTTTCTTATCTTATCCTCAGGCTTCTCGTTAGTGCCTCGCAGGATGGAAAACTCATCATCTGGGACAGCTACACTACAAACAAGGTCTGTAGTTCCATCATATTGTTACACATAAAACACATGATGGTGCAGCCAAGCAGTTCTGAACTAGTAAGTTCAGCTTTTCACGGAATATCACCATCAAGTAAACAATGGGAATGCCAGGTTTATTGTCTCTGTAGTAAGTGCATTGTAAAGTCACATTAAATTCATCAGGTAAAATAATACATTATCTGCTGCTCGCCGGCTACGATGACTTTAACTGCAACATCTGGGACGCCATGAAGGGAGACCGAGCAGGTGAACATACTGGCGTTATTATTTTGCAGCAGTACAGTAACCACAGTGGTTTATTTGTGAATTGTGAGGTCCCTGAAAAATAATGAGATCTATAGGGTTTAGAGGCAGAAGATTTAACAGGTTTGTAAAAAAAAGAAAAGGGGAAAAAAAAGGGAAAATACAGTATTTAGCACTAAATTCTTGCATTAGACTAAAATCAAAAATTTGGCCGTACTAAAATCAACAGAGCTGCCTATAGTGCAAGATAGGTTTGTTGCATTGCTACACTTGCTTATAGTGGATACTTTGTACATATTTTATATTTACAGTATTAAAAATACAATACTCAAATGGCACATTAATTTAACATTTTAATATGCTCTTTATACGGAAATTATTAATAATACTTTTTATCATTAGTTTACTTGATTTTTAGGGTCAGTAAGATTTAAAAATTAAATTTAAATAAAAAAAAAATTAAATTATTACTTTTATTCAGCAAGGATGCATGAAATGAATCAACAGTGATGGTATAATTATGTTACTAAAAGATGTCGATTTAAAAAAATTATCTTCAAATAAATTTCTATTCATCAAAGAATCCTGAAAAAACTAGCACAAAATATTTTTCCACAAAAATATTAAGCAGCACAACTCTTTTCAACATTGATAGCAAGTGCTCAAATTCAGCATATTAGAATGATTTCAGAAGTAACATGTGACACTGAAGACTGCAGTAATTCAGCTTTGCTATCACAGAAATAAATGACATTTTAAAAGATATTAAATCGTTAGATAAAACAGTTCTTTTAAATTGCAACATTTCTCAATATTATGGTTTTTGAAGTCTTTTTGATGAAATAAATGCAGCATAAGAGACTTCTTTCAAAACATTTTTTACAAATCTTACCGATTGGTAGTATATGTAAAGGTCATGGTGCATGAGGTGGGAAATCTATTAAAGTATGAGTTTTGTACTGACCCAATATAAACTAAATGTTAACCCTTCACACTCATTATCTCTTACAGGAGTGCTGGCTGGCCATGACAATCGTGTGAGCTGTCTTGGGGTCACAGATGATGGCATGGCTGTGTGTACAGGTTCCTGGGACAGCTTCCTGAAGATCTGGAACTGACCACACACAGCTTCCATATTGTACACATTATTCACTCATCATACACAATGTATGTACTTTACTGTACATATGATGTACACTTGCCTACACAGACACACATGCCTGACAAAAACTGTACATAATATATATAACTAGTTATACGTTTACACCAAATATTTTCAGTGCCACATCATTCTATACACAGTCACACACTATAGGTAGGTTTGGACCACAAGTTTGAAATAGGAATGTTTACACACACACACACACACACACTTTTTTTCCCTTACTTAAGGTTTGCTGGAACTACATGGTACCTTCACTAAGAGACACAAGTACATTTGGAGGAATGTGCGTTGAGTGAGTTGTCTAATTTGAGCGTACAATCCAAAACATTTATTTGACGCTTCATTTTTAGACTGAGCTCAAAGTGGTGGATGTTGATCCATTGAAGAGCATTCTTTTTTTTTATTTTGACTTCCATTCTGTCTTCTATATTCAAAGTCTAAAGTACTGATGTTTCCATGAGCATGTAGAGTTGAAAAGATGAAGGAGATGAACCCAACCCATCTGTAGTTGATACAGATCACACTTTATGTAGCCCATGTTTTTATAGATGCGTATGCCGGCATATTCCAGTATATAAGTAATTAAATGACATTTTTGTCTTTCATTTTTGTTTAGAATTTACATTTTTTAAAAGCTTTTATTCATGTTTTCCTGTATGCCGCACCCTAAGGAGAATAAAGAAAACTGAAAATAAATAAATACAAATCTGTGCCACTAAATATGTGATCACAGGCTGCTCACAAAAATGTTTAAATACTTGTTATTTGAAATTACTCAATTCATAAAAGGGGTTTTCAACTGGTTTCATGTAAGGACCCAGACTTCACACTGGACAAGCAAAAAGATTAATCTGACAGTGTTATAAAAGCATAAACACCAACTGAAGTGTGATACTGCACACTTGCATGTGATAAATTTGGGCCAAAATATGGAATGTTTTTCACGCTAACATCAAAATGTATTTTCTAATATCTTCTACAACCCAATCAGTAACTTGTTGAGAACCACTTGTTTGTTTGACTTGGATCCGGTCTCAGTCACAGGAAACAGAATGCATTTATAGTGCGTTTATGGTAAAACAATTAATTGACTCATCTGAGATTTACACTATTTAATAATTATCTAACATGCCATAAAAGTAAATGAGCTAAAAAGATGATTCAAACAAGTGAATGTAAATACATTGTTTAAAAAAGAATAAACTCTAATAAAATGAGCTTGAAGGAATAAAAAGAGTTACACCATTTTAACAGAGATCAAGTTATTTTTAATTTTCAAATAATGCTGTATTGAGACATTACAGACTTGTGAATGCATTCAATCCTTAAGACTTAAAATCATCTGAAGCACTCCCTCTCCTAAACAGAAACACTAAAAATATGTCCGAAAAACATCTACTATTTTTTTCCGAAACATAAAAACGTTTAAAAAGTAAATGAAAAGAATGATAATCAACCCATCACAGAGGATCAACTTTATCAAGTCCTCCAAAAACAACCTTTAACCTCTCCTGGCTACTGATACGAGTTTGAATCAAAAGCACAACGCAAAAGAACTACAAACCATTCTTTGGAGTAGGAAATATTTTACAAAAATCAGCTAAGGGATTAACTTTGTATTACTAGAGAACGACAAGAGAAATGTCACTTGTTAGCATAGTGCTAATAGCATGTAGAGTAGATAAATACCTCAAACACCTTAAAACGAAAACCAGACAGCTCTGCATCTCTCGAAGACCGCTACACACGTGACCTAGTCTAGCTTTTTAAAGACCGACTGGTTTACAATGATGCTCTCGTTGGACATAAAAGCATTTAATGATAAACATTTCTTCAAATGTGGGGGATGGAGTGTAAAATATCATCTTTACATGTGCACCTAAACCATGGATTCTGTAAAACTCTTACAAGCCTTCAATCCAACAGATCAGTTTAATAGACCAGAATAAAACAAACCGATTACATTCAATAATGTCCACAGTAAAGCCAACAACGCATGTACCTTCAGAACAACCCCTGACACACTGGATCAGATATCAATACGAGCTTTTACACGAGATCAGGACTGTGGTCAGCTGCCGTAGAAAGACTACAACGTTCAATTGGTCGTCAGCGAACCACAAACATGACTGGAGTCGCTTGTGTGGCTTGAGTCCAGTGATGATGTGTGTACAGTATGTTTGACCAAACTGGCCCTCAATCGCTGTCGACTGGTCGTCTTTTCTCCCCCTGCTCTCTTTCCTCTGAGGGAATAATGAACAGCACACACGCGGATCAGAAATAGCTCTCCTATTCACACATGCACAGTCACACACCCACATGCTCTCTTTTATAACACTCGCTGGGAAAAAGAGAGGAGAGAGACGAGTCTAACTGAACGCACAGCAGTATGTACGGGGAGAAGCTTTGTGCTCGAGTGATTATTCTTCAGCCTGAAAAATGCTATATAACAATGCATTCATTTATTCAGTTCTATTGATAAGGTTACGTTCATTAATTCTTTTTATAGATTCACATCTAGGTAAAAAAAAAGGTTAAGAAGAATTCAGGGATTTTGTATGTATATATATATATATATATATATATATATTCCCATTAATTTCCATCATCATGACAGGCAATGGTAATCTTAATATAAACTCTTTATCTAATTTATAAAGCATATTTCCTCTCTGTTTAAATTTGTTACTCGTTATATCATAATTTTGCTATAAAAACAAATTCTGTCAATCCAGTAGCGTGAACGCTGTTATACACATTTACTATTAAGCATAAAGGCAAAATCTCACTAAATTCCAAGAGTTCTTGGGAATGCTGGGGACTGTTATAATCACACGCATGCGAGCAGCTCTTCACCATGACAACTCGAACCTTTTGTGAACCTCCGGCATGAAAACCAGAGACTTTCCCTGTTTGGCAAAACGATATGCGAGCTACAAGCACCACCATCTCGCACTCCAGAACAAAGAGCTCGTCTTGTCAAGTAACTGAAGGGCGTTTGGACTGTAATATGGTATTAAATAAACATCTGAGGAACGCGCTGCCTTCAAACTGGAGGAATTAACTCTTTATGGCATGGCTTTTGTGCTAAGAGTGAGAGGAGCCTTTCTTGGTGCTCTGGCTATTGTCAATTTAAGTGCACTTTGTTGGCACAAGACCCCTAACTGCGCACTGGACTTTTCTCATCCCTGAACCTCAGTTCTTATTAAAACAATCACATGCTCAACGCTCTCCCACACACACATGCACACAATCAAGCAAATACACCCAACCCCAATCCAAGGCACTGTTATTTCAGTAAACATGGCAGTTTGATTTACTAAGCAAGAAAATGCTTACGTTTTACAGCAAGAGAGAGAAAGAAAGTAAGGATGAGGGGCACAAACGAAGTAACTCTCAGAAAGTGCGAATCTGTCATAATGGCACATTAGCATTTAATTTTGCTCACTCACAGATGATGCGAATTCAAACTATAAGCCCCCATCTCTCTCTGCAGTGCAACAATTTATAATTATTCATGTGAAGTGTTGCGCCGCCATATTTTAATAATGACTTGCTAAATGTGTCATCGGTGTTTAGTGCCCGTCTAGACTGTGACAGCAGACAATATGTCCGGTGGGAGGGGCTATTAGGTAACAGATGATGATGATTGTACCATCACAAGCTACTGAACAAATCAGAGCTAATCATTTAGTGTTAACTAGGAAAATATTTAGGAGGGACAAAGTGCGTCAAATGTACTGTGATTAGTGTACACGTTTTTTCGTAAAGGCAGCACTTTATAAGTGATATAATGGTACAAGTCCATCTTCATCAAATAGGGAAAGAGAAAAGACTAGATTGTGAAGGTATTCTTTTTAGGTGAATACTGCTGTAAAAGTAGATTATCTGCATGGAAATGAGTGAAAAGCTTGAGAAAAATCTCTGGTCTAGTATTGCAGAGCTGGAGACAGTAACACCAGGCACAAACCAGTCAATAATCCTTAAACTATTGCTTTATACTGATCCTACTGTATGTTACCGATTAATATTTCCCACTGATACTCACACGCACACACACGCACGCACGCATGCACGCACGCACGCAGCTCGTTTGCACACTGTCAGCTAAACAAAAGAATATTCTTGCTCCAATCCACCCACGTCTTCATCTAAAACATGACTTTTGTGTTGCTAAAAAATGGTGGGGTCCAAATCTTAAAGAAAAAAAGTCTGATCAAATGCACACATCCCTGATGAACTACAAGCCTGCCTAAAAAAAACTACACCTTCCATAAGCAATCAAGCACTTTTGACAGCACAAACACATGACTCAATTGATTTACGCAGTCATGTAGTGATTGAACACATCAAAAATCATATGCTTACTGAATACAAATAAGATCTAAATACGATCATGGCTGCTATGTACAATTTACATTGTGACAAAGAACTATACGTTTGTGCTGCCAAAAAAAAACTTTTTCAGTCATATCCGGAGTAACTTACTGTATCTTCCTGTCTAAAATCAGAACAACCCAAAAGAAACTCTCGTAAAACTTCGAACAAGAACGAGCACACAGCACGTATTGCAATAGAACAGCTATAGAACAGCAGATAATAAAAGTAGGAGTAATACCAAATACGTTTACGTACAGAGAATATCAAACTGTAGTAGATATGATGATACTTCTCACATAGAATGAAAAAAAGTGCTTTGAAAAGCCAAACCAGAGACTGTTGCTCCATTGTGGGTGACTAGTGGAAAAGCAAAACGCTGGATTCTGCTCCGTAAGCAGCCACCACCGTTTCCATCGAACAAACAGTTTGGTGACACAGGCGTCAGATTATTGTTTATACATCAAGAAAGCGAAAAACCTTCCCTAGCTCGGAAGGGAAGCGGTCTCAGAATATGTTAAAACTCATATTTTTAAATCAATTTCTAAACTTCTACTTGTCGAAAGAAAACATTATATCACTTTTATATGAAACTCTGAATGCAACCAAGAACAAACGACTACTACACTATACAGTTGAAATGGAAAATTACAGATGTTGCAGTACCACCTCACACCACTGCAGTTTCAAGGTGTTTCTGCTACTCAAAGTAGCTTATAAAGTCTCTCAAACACACGCACGCCACTGTTGCGTCACAAGACGCACGACAGTTGAACGATTCTCGTAGTTTACACGCATTTCTAGTAGAATAATGTACAATTAGTCTTTTTTGTCTGGTCCTAGAAAGGTCACAAATATTAGCAGTGAGGAACGTTGGCCCCAGTGAGCTGAAAGCTAACCCATGTGGAATCAGATGAACACAACATTGCTCTGTCAGAGGTCAGCAGCGTGCTCACGGCAGACACACGCACACCTTGTACAGTTGGCTCAGAGATCACAGGAGAATGGTGAAGGAGTGTCTTCAGGAAGATGTGAAGTAAATAACTCTGTTCTATACGTAAGTATGTGCAGGAGTGTGTATGTGTGAGTGTGTGTATTTACAGAGTGTGAGAGTGTCTGTGGATGTTGTTGTGTGTGAGGACTATCTTCAGTGTTTGCAAGTGTGCACACAGCAGAATCTATGTTCATGTGGCAGCTCTTTCACCAGTTCATAATGCAGTTTCTGTTGAGGGTCATAAAGTAGACTTGACTGCTGCCACCAGAACGCACTGATGCAAAAAACACCTGAAAGAAAGAAAAAAGTTAGTGTGAAGTGGATAAGCTTAATGAGAAGATCATTTTTCTGTGTAATTCTATTAAATTGATATTGTAGTAAATATAATTAAAAAAATTATAATTTTACTTATTACCTTAATGACCAAAATGTAATATTTACCCTTGTCCCAAATTTTGTATGCAACCCTGTTTATTACAAAAAATTTAACATTCCTCAATTTTGACACGCTTTAGGTAACATAATTTGTTCTCTACGGGACAATCTCATTCCATTTTCTCAATCTTACTTTCCTGTAGCTCAAACAATAGAGGTAGCTACCAAAGGTCACAGGTTTGATTTTCAGGGAAAGAATGAATGACAAAATATAAATGTGTTTCTTAAATGCAACTTAAGTCGCTTTGGAGCCAAATGCATAAGTGTAAATGTATTTTTTTTTTTAATATACATTTTAAACTGTATTTAATTCCATATTGATAACACTTTATTATAGGGATCAATTCCCACTATTAACTAGTTGATTATCAGCATGCCTCTTCTTAACACATTGGCTGTTTATTAGTACTTATAAAACACATATTCTGCATGACAATATTCTACAGCCCTAATCCTACCCAATACCTAAACTTAACAACTACCTTACTAACTATTAATAAGCAGCAAATTAGGAGTTTGAGGCAAAAGTCGTAGTTAATGGTTTGTTAATAGCAAGAATTGGATCTTAAATAAAGTGTGACCTCCATATTTTGGCAGCAGAATTGCAAAACTTGCAGATATCATAGAACTTAAACAGAATCTAAAAAACTGTCTAAAACAACTGTAACTTTATTTTCTCCACCTGAGGTTTGGTTATGTATCCATTCTAGTATCTACTTTTCTTTTTGAAAAAAAGAGGAAGCCCTATTTGTGTGAAGTGCCGCATGTGTCTGTGTGTGTGTCTGTGAAAACTGATCACCTTGTCATTTCTTTCACATAGGAACTTAAGCCTCTGAGCTCTCTTGTGCATGAAGACTCCATCCAGGTGTCCTGTCTCAACAGAACGGATCTCTATGGCTTTCTCTCCCCAGCCCATAATCTGATTAGAGCAGATGTGGGCTACACGCAAAATACAAAGACATAAGAATATTTGATCATTCACTTTATAAATACTATCTCTAATGCACATGCGCAACAAAAATATCTACTGAAACAACGCAATCCTCTCCTGGTTAATTCAAGCTAATGTGCTTTAATCCAGAAAAGACTATCATTTTAACCAATTTTGCAATTCTGCAAAAAGAATATGAGCGCACAGTACACATGTGTGTGTGTGTGTGTATACTTACCCACAGAAGTGGGCATTTCTCCCCACTGCAGCACCACATCTTTAATGATACGCCCATACGTGTTGACGTAAACACCCTCATCCTCATAACACAACAGCATCTCCATCCCATCTGAATTGGGCAGGAATACGATGGCATGAGGAGTCACCTGTGACTGGATCTACAGACAGACAGATGCAGAGAGAGCAAGAGGGAGTCAAAGAGAGGACAAGAGGTACAAGGAGATTTATCTTTCTAAAGGGGCTATAAAATCTTTCTCTTCATTTTCCAATTGACCCACAAATCACTGATCGCTCCCATGTGATCCAGTGTATTCTTGTGAAAAAATCTTCACATGACAGCTCAACTCACGTGTACAGGAACATAGATGTCATAGTTGTTTCCAGAGTCAACATCAATGGCATGGAAGCCAGCACTTGACCCATAGATGACCTTTAACCTCTGACCCTCTTCCACCGTGAGGTCAACCAACAGAGGCCTATGTGGCAGGTCTCCAAATGACTGAGAAGAAATACAAATAGTATGAAACTATAGCACATTACAAAGATTATGTGGAATGATAACGTGAACACCTATCCCAACAATTAGATAATGAGTTCGTCACATTTGCTGTATTATTATAAAGGAAGTGATGTAAAGAAGCATACTTGTCTCAAACTATTTGGTAATTGGCTACTTTCTATTACCTTTAACAGAGTAAATCATTATTTATTACTTACACTACCTTTCACAAGTTTGGTCCTTTTTTGTTGGTTTTGAAACTTCATATGCTCTTTTCTTATACAGTAAAAACAGTAATACTGTGAAATATTATTAGAATTTAAAAGAACTGTTTTCTATTTGAATATATTTTGAAATGTGACTTATTCCTTTGATGGCTATAGCTTCTGTTGTCATTACTCTTGTCTTCAGTATCACATGATCCTTCATTCATTCTAAAATGCTGAATTAGTGCTCAAGAAACATTTCTTATTATCAATCACCCCAACTGACCCAAACTTCTGAACTTTTTTTAAAATTTGGGAATATCCAGTAATCCTCATGTAAGCCGTGTACATAATAAATAAAACAATATAACTCAAGTCTCTACCTTGAAGGCCATGAACTTGTGGTAAGGTTTGGGAGCCCAGGCGTAAACCTCCACCGCATTCTTCAGAGCGATAACCAGAAACTTAATCCTTTCATATTTCACTGGGAAAATAAACAAAAACATTCACAACAAAGGTGATATATGACATGAAGTACTTTGGAAGAGTTAGAGCCCAAAGTCAAAATAGTTTGCTTGAGGTCTTTTGAACTACCGTAGCTAAATGGTCCTAGTCAGTAGTAGTGTAAACTTTCACCACTTTCTTGTAGCCTTTAATTTGTGCATAATTAAGCACTTTATACATGCACACTTACCAACTTTGTAGTGCACACAGCCCTCCATTTCTCCCACAGTGGTCCAGCCCTGTTTCTTCTCCACCTCTGGGTCATTATGGAGGATTTTATTCCTCAGCCAGGCAAGATAATACACACGCACCTTATTCTTCTTGCCTGAGAGAAAGATAATAAATATGAACAGCCAGCATGTATTTGTCCTGACAGTGATGAGAAGATGAACACTTGTAAATTGATGAATAGGCCTATGCGTAACCTGATATAGTGATGAGGAGGTTCAGTCCCTCCAGAACATCCATCTGTTGAAACCTGCGTGAGTTGATCAATGGATAAACTTTCCCCTGGCCGCTTCGATCCAGCAGCTTCAGACCGTTCTCTGTCCCTACCAGCAGATTCACACCTGACAGAACAAACACCGCTATTACACACATATACAAAGACCCTCACAACATAAACAGTGTTAGAAGAGCTATTTTGAAAATACAGTTTGTCAAGATTCAGGCTTCTCTGTAGGAGTAGCAGAAAAAAGGAAAAAAAGCTGTATGCTGAAACTTGAAAAAATATTGAATTTAACAGGCCCTCAAATGTTTGGAGCTAAGAAACGTGACCTTACGCCACGATATTCCAACACTACAATGATTTGGGTCATATTTTATGCACTTTGGCCAGAGGGTGGCACTGCCACCAAACTAGTCTTGATCAGGGAATTAAGGCAATGAGGATAGAAAGTTCATGTCAGTACATCCAAGTGTAGCACAGATACAGCCACTCTTCCTGTCTCAATTCATATCGTGCCAAATACTTTATATAACCCGACTGCCAAGTGACAGGCTGATGACAGCAGGACAAGTTTGGAAAAGAGGAAACTCAAAAAGGCAGAAAATTGAGGTCAGAAATCACTTGTTGCACTGGCATGGCCCAATGAATCAGTGGAAAGGTTTTGTTTCTAGGACACTTGCTTCAAAAGTTATTAGCTAAAATGTGCAAAACTTTTGAACATTTGGTAGTACTGGAGAGTTTAAATTAACACCGGGGACACTGAGACCAGTTCTTATCATTGGGCCAAATTTCACACATTTCATACAAAAATTACACTAAAATGACCCAAAATGGCCTGATGCTAATTGAAATCAGGGAAATTTTAGAAGAGTGCTCTCGATTCGCTAACCTAACCATGTCTCTGCTTTGTGCGCTAGCTTAAGTTGTTAGCAGCTCGCACAACATCAGGTCTACATGTGCTCAAATTGTGGTACTGAACTTATCTACCACATAATCTAACGTGTTTTGTCACACTACACCACTGATTGTTAGAAAAGTCAGCAGGGATACCGTCATGAAATATGTAGTTAGTATCAGTAACATGGGCAAGGTCACACACACACACACACACCCCTACACAAAGCGCTCTTGTTCATCTCTTACCCCAGAGAGCAGCACAGAGGATCTCAGAGTTGAATCTCTTCTTGTATTTGCGGATTTCAGGAGAGTCACTAACTGGACGAGTGTTGGTGGGATTGACATTGACCATGGAGCCTTTCCTCACCTCCAGCTTCAGTTGCTCAAAGCGAGAGCCCAGACCTACAACACCCACAAACAACACAAGCTAAGAACCGAGAGAAACAGCATTGAGTGACTGAGTCATCTGTCAGCAGTACCTTAAAGGGGACATCAGATGCAAAATTCACTTTTACACGGTGTTTGAACATAAATTTGTGCTGGCAGTGTGTGTACACAACCAACATATAATGATTAAAAAAAACACACCCAGTGCTTTTTTTTTTTTTTAAATCCCCTCAAGCACCGTCTCAGATTTTAGCACAGACCCGCCCTGAGTGAGCTGTCATTAGTCCACCATTGTTTCGATGCCGGAGCAGGGGTAAACAAGAATGTCTCCTAAGTGATTGAGGTGTTGTTGGATGTAATAATGAACATAGCATTCGTCATTTACTCCTGACATCTGAGCCGCTGAAGACACATTGGATTACGTTTGTTTTTGAAGGGAATGCGCACCCTGATCTACCTAAATGCGTTTTTGTTCATGTGAATCATTCATGATCCAGCTTCACCTACAGAAGAAGCAAGTATAAGTTTTTATTTTATGTTTCTTTGCAAATTGGCTTTCCTAATAATGTGCTAGTTCCATGGCTAAATGCAGCTAAAGTTTACAGTCTCAGAGAACTGCTTGTCACCCCCATGGAAGAGAGGGGCGGGGTGAGCAGAGCTCATTAGCATTTAAAGGGACATGCACCAAAACGGGTCGCTGTGAACAGAGCTGTTTTTGACCAGGTAAAAAGGATGTCGTTTTACACTACCAATATTTGATCATTCACTTTATAAATACTATCTCTAATGCACATGCGCAACAAAAATATCTACTGAAACAACGCAATCCTCTCCTGGTTAATTCAAGCTAATGTGCTTTAATCCAGAAAAGACTATCATTTTAACCAATTTTGCAATTCTGCAAAAAGAATATGAGCGCACAGTACACATGTGTGTGTGTGTGTGTATACTTACCCACAGAAGTGGGCATTTCTCCCCACTGCAGCACCACATCTTTAATGATACGCCCATACGTGTTGACGTAAACACCCTCATCCTCATAACACAACAGCATCTCCATCCCATCTGAATTGGGCAGGAATACGATGGCATGAGGAGTCACCTGTGACTGGATCTACAGACAGACAGATGCAGAGAGAGCAAGAGGGAGTCAAAGAGAGGACAAGAGGTACAAGGAGATTTATCTTTCTAAAGGGGCTATAAAATCTTTCTCTTCATTTTCCAATTGACCCACAAATCACTGATCGCTCCCATGTGATCCAGTGTATTCTTGTGAAAAAATCTTCACATGACAGCTCAACTCACGTGTACAGGAACATAGATGTCATAGTTGTTTCCAGAGTCAACATCAATGGCATGGAAGCCAGCACTTGACCCATAGATGACCTTTAACCTCTGACCCTCTTCCACCGTGAGGTCAACCAACAGAGGCCTATGTGGCAGGTCTCCAAATGACTGAGAAGAAATACAAATAGTATGAAACTATAGCACATTACAAAGATTATGTGGAATGATAACGTGAACACCTATCCCAACAATTAGATAATGAGTTCGTCACATTTGCTGTATTATTATAAAGGAAGTGATGTAAAGAAGCATACTTGTCTCAAACTATTTGGTAATTGGCTACTTTCTATTACCTTTAACAGAGTAAATCATTATTTATTACTTACACTACCTTTCACAAGTTTGGTCCTTTTTTGTTGGTTTTGAAACTTCATATGCTCTTTTCTTATACAGTAAAAACAGTAATACTGTGAAATATTATTAGAATTTAAAAGAACTGTTTTCTATTTGAATATATTTTGAAATGTGACTTATTCCTTTGATGGCTATAGCTTCTGTTGTCATTACTCTTGTCTTCAGTATCACATGATCCTTCATTCATTCTAAAATGCTGAATTAGTGCTCAAGAAACATTTCTTATTATCAATCACCCCAACTGACCCAAACTTCTGAACTTTTTTTAAAATTTGGGAATATCCAGTAATCCTCATGTAAGCCGTGTACATAATAAATAAAACAATATAACTCAAGTCTCTACCTTGAAGGCCATGAACTTGTGGTAAGGTTTGGGAGCCCAGGCGTAAACCTCCACCGCATTCTTCAGAGCGATAACCAGAAACTTAATCCTTTCATATTTCACTGGGAAAATAAACAAAAACATTCACAACAAAGGTGATATATGACATGAAGTACTTTGGAAGAGTTAGAGCCCAAAGTCAAAATAGTTTGCTTGAGGTCTTTTGAACTACCGTAGCTAAATGGTCCTAGTCAGTAGTAGTGTAAACTTTCACCACTTTCTTGTAGCCTTTAATTTGTGCATAATTAAGCACTTTATACATGCACACTTACCAACTTTGTAGTGCACACAGCCCTCCATTTCTCCCACAGTGGTCCAGCCCTGTTTCTTCTCCACCTCTGGGTCATTATGGAGGATTTTATTCCTCAGCCAGGCAAGATAATACACACGCACCTTATTCTTCTTGCCTGAGAGAAAGATAATAAATATGAACAGCCAGCATGTATTTGTCCTGACAGTGATGAGAAGATGAACACTTGTAAATTGATGAATAGGCCTATGCGTAACCTGATATAGTGATGAGGAGGTTCAGTCCCTCCAGAACATCCATCTGTTGAAACCTGCGTGAGTTGATCAATGGATAAACTTTCCCCTGGCCGCTTCGATCCAGCAGCTTCAGACCGTTCTCTGTCCCTACCAGCAGATTCACACCTGACAGAACAAACACCGCTATTACACACATATACAAAGACCCTCACAACATAAACAGTGTTAGAAGAGCTATTTTGAAAATACAGTTTGTCAAGATTCAGGCTTCTCTGTAGGAGTAGCAGAAAAAAGGAAAAAAAGCTGTATGCTGAAACTTGAAAAAATATTGAATTTAACAGGCCCTCAAATGTTTGGAGCTAAGAAACGTGACCTTACGCCACGATATTCCAACACTACAATGATTTGGGTCATATTTTATGCACTTTGGCCAGAGGGTGGCACTGCCACCAAACTAGTCTTGATCAGGGAATTAAGGCAATGAGGATAGAAAGTTCATGTCAGTACATCCAAGTGTAGCACAGATACAGCCACTCTTCCTGTCTCAATTCATATCGTGCCAAATACTTTATATAACCCGACTGCCAAGTGACAGGCTGATGACAGCAGGACAAGTTTGGAAAAGAGGAAACTCAAAAAGGCAGAAAATTGAGGTCAGAAATCACTTGTTGCACTGGCATGGCCCAATGAATCAGTGGAAAGGTTTTGTTTCTAGGACACTTGCTTCAAAAGTTATTAGCTAAAATGTGCAAAACTTTTGAACATTTGGTAGTACTGGAGAGTTTAAATTAACACCGGGGACACTGAGACCAGTTCTTATCATTGGGCCAAATTTCACACATTTCATACAAAAATTACACTAAAATGACCCAAAATGGCCTGATGCTAATTGAAATCAGGGAAATTTTAGAAGAGTGCTCTCGATTCGCTAACCTAACCATGTCTCTGCTTTGTGCGCTAGCTTAAGTTGTTAGCAGCTCGCACAACATCAGGTCTACATGTGCTCAAATTGTGGTACTGAACTTATCTACCACATAATCTAACGTGTTTTGTCACACTACACCACTGATTGTTAGAAAAGTCAGCAGGGATACCGTCATGAAATATGTAGTTAGTATCAGTAACATGGGCAAGGTCACACACACACACACACACCCCTACACAAAGCGCTCTTGTTCATCTCTTACCCCAGAGAGCAGCACAGAGGATCTCAGAGTTGAATCTCTTCTTGTATTTGCGGATTTCAGGAGAGTCACTAACTGGACGAGTGTTGGTGGGATTGACATTGACCATGGAGCCTTTCCTCACCTCCAGCTTCAGTTGCTCAAAGCGAGAGCCCAGACCTACAACACCCACAAACAACACAAGCTAAGAACCGAGAGAAACAGCATTGAGTGACTGAGTCATCTGTCAGCAGTACCTTAAAGGGGACATCAGATGCAAAATTCACTTTTACACGGTGTTTGAACATAAATTTGTGCTGGCAGTGTGTGTACACAACCAACATATAATGATTAAAAAAAACACACCCAGTGCTTTTTTTTTTTTTTAAATCCCCTCAAGCACCGTCTCAGATTTTAGCACAGACCCGCCCTGAGTGAGCTGTCATTAGTCCACCATTGTTTCGATGCCGGAGCAGGGGTAAACAAGAATGTCTCCTAAGTGATTGAGGTGTTGTTGGATGTAATAATGAACATAGCATTCGTCATTTACTCCTGACATCTGAGCCGCTGAAGACACATTGGATTACGTTTGTTTTTGAAGGGAATGCGCACCCTGATCTACCTAAATGCGTTTTTGTTCATGTGAATCATTCATGATCCAGCTTCACCTACAGAAGAAGCAAGTATAAGTTTTTATTTTATGTTTCTTTGCAAATTGGCTTTCCTAATAATGTGCTAGTTCCATGGCTAAATGCAGCTAAAGTTTACAGTCTCAGAGAACTGCTTGTCACCCCCATGGAAGAGAGGGGCGGGGTGAGCAGAGCTCATTAGCATTTAAAGGGACATGCACCAAAACGGGTCGCTGTGAACAGAGCTGTTTTTGACCAGGTAAAAAGGATGTCGTTTTACACTACCATTGAGAAATTTTAACCAAAGTATGTTATAGACTTTTCATGAAGACCCTAAAGAATCATATCAACTTGTGGAAAATGGGCATCTGATGTCCCCTTTAACAACAACGAAGCAATGATCGTGGACCTACACTGCAAAAACATTTTCTCAATAATTTTTTGTCTCGTTTTCCTTTAAAGAAATATAAGGATCCTTAAAACGAGAAGTCTTATCTTACAAAATTTTGTTTCTCAAGTATATTTATCATGTGTATTTTTTAATTAGAAAACAAGACCAAAATACTGATAATTATTCTCATGTTTTTCCAATGTATTAAATCTGTGAACAAACACTACCATTTCAAAGTTTGGGGTCAGTAAGACTGACAAAAAAAAAAAAAAAAAAAAAAAAGAACGAATACTTTTCTTCAGGGGTGTATTAAACCAAATAAAAAAATATAAAATATTACATAATCACAACACTTTTTATCATTGACATTCATAAGAAATGTTACTTGAGCAGCAAATCTGCATATCAGAATGACTTCTGAAGGATCATGTGACACTGAAGACTGAAGTAATGGCTGCTGAACATTCAGCTTTGCCATCACAGAAATAAATTGCATTTTAAAATATAATCAAAATAGAAAGCATTGTAATATTTCACAATGCTACAGTTTTAATATATTGTTGATTAAATACATGTAGCTTGGGTGAGAATAAGACACTTCTTTCAAAGTCTTACCTACCCCAAACCATTGAACGGATGTGTATCTTAAACAAATACCCAGTAACTGTCAGACAATTTAATACCATACCTCCAACAGACATGTTATCGCCTGTGCCCCCTGATGGTTGGTACATACCAAGGTCCACAAAGGTAGTAAAAGAGGACTTTCCAGAGGCCTTCACCAAGCCCCTGGACTGATACTGAAATTGATTGCATGATCGGAGTCAACCAATGAACTACACACATTGGGCAATATATTTGTTAATGACTCAAAGAAAAAAAATATGTAATTATATAGATGGAGAGAATGAAGCTTTAAAAGTTAGGTGGGCAGAGAGCTCACATCATAGGCAGAGTCTTTCCCAGGGGAAGAGTGGGAGGCAGAGTCTGTGGGAGAGTGGGAGGGCTGAACCACATCAGGCAGGTTGGTGTATCCATTATGACTACGCTTCTCTGGAGTCTGCCAGAAACAAACACATATTTGTATTGGAAAAAAGCAGTGAATTCATTATTTTAGTTTCATGCATGCACACAAAGGCTCAAAAGCTTTTTTGAGGGATCGTGGGGACACTACTGATGGGAACCCTCAAACTGTAGGTACTTAAAATATGCTAGTGAAACAATAACACAGTATATGCTGCATTAATAAGGCAATCCCATAGGTATTAACAAATTAATAGGAAATTAATAACATTTTAAATAAATTATGTTTATTTGAATTTTCTTTTCATTGAAGAATCATAGAAAAAAAATGTATGACTGTTTCCACAAAAATAAACAGCCCAACAGATTTCAACATTAATAAAAATATGAAATGTTTCTTGAGCAGCAAATCAGCATATTGAATTATTTCTGAAGGATGTGAAAATGAAGACTGGAGTACTGGCTGCTGAAAATTCAGCTTTACCAGCAAAGGAATAAATTATATTTTGAAATTTATTCAAATAGAAAACAGTTTTGTATTGTAATAATATTTAAAATGTATAATATTACTGTATTTAATAAATGAAACTGACCCCAAACCCTGGAACATATTGTAAATTTTTATTCTGATGACAATAATTAATACTGCTAATACAGTGCTTATTCCCCCTTTTTTCATGTTTTTACATTTTTCTTTTGATAAAATAACATTAACATGGTTATAGAACATGATCAAGAACTTTTATATTATTATTATTATTATTTTCAAACTGATTCATTTTGATGAAATACTTTAATTTTTTTTAGTAAACACTGCTATTTCCCATTATTTATTATCTTTAAATTAAATTTCATGATTACATGCCAGCCACTCTGCTCTCTATGATATCAGCAACAGGGATTTTTATATATATATATATATATATATATATATATATATATATATATACACACAATGTCCTCCTAATTGAAATAGTTAAGCATACCAAACTAGAAAATATGTATATGGATAGAAACACATACATATTTTCTAGTTTGGTATGCTTAACTATTTCAATTAGGAGGACAGCTGGATGTTCTCAAAATGTAGGGTAAAGATCTGAAACTTGAATACGCATTACATTATAAAGATATTTAGTCGTCATAATGTAGAGAAAAAAAAAAAAACGTGTACACGTACAAAAACACACACAAACATCCTACCCTCTGTACAAGCATGGTTTGGTCTCCATATCCTCCGGCACGTTCTTCATCTCCTCCTTCACCTTCCTCCTCCTCATGGACCACCATAGTGTTAACGGAGTCAGAATCTGCATCACGTGGGCTGATAAAGACATCGAAAGAAAAATGTGAAAAATTAAACCAAAAAACTACTGTGAAATATTCACACATCATTGTCTCATACCGGTCAGTAGGGCTTTCCTCTTCTGCTCCCTCTCCACTCTCACTCTCTTCACTGCTCTCACTGCTTTCTGAGGAAGAGGAGTAATCATTAGCCTTCACCGGGGGCCGCGGTTGCTCCTCTGCCCGCTCCTTAGGATACAGACCGTGGTCCTGACACATTGACACGAGGAAGAAATCAACAGGCAAGTGAAAAACACTTCATCAAGCACCACATATCTGTAGTCATCATTACATTCACATTGGATCTCTCCAGATTGAATCAGACCATAAGATTTTAATCATGCATTCTGTCTTTTAAAAGCTATCTAAGAGTTTGGAGGGTGTTGTGTGGGTGTGGGCATGGGATCTTGGTTGGGGAGGGTAAATGTGGTCACACAGAGACCATGAGCGTGGGACTGTCCTTCTACAGATGCTGGTGGTTGTGGACTGGTGTGCAGGTGAAATCAACAGGAAAACAGACTTCTGAGGAGAGACGAGAGACGCTAAAGAATGGTCCAAGATGTACATAATGCATCCTGTGTGAATGTCTCTTCAAGGAACAGTTCACCCAAAAATTAATGCTTGCTTTCTTTGGTGAAGACAAAAAATGATATTTTAGAGGATGTTTCAACTGTTCTTTGTCCATAGAATCAAAGTCAATGGGGTCATTATTGCATTATTCAGAAAATATACACTACCGTTCAAAAGTTTGGTCTCTTATGCTCACTTTATGCTAAGCTTAATTTATTTGCAAAAATACAGTAAACAACAGTGATATTGTGAAAGATTATCCCAAATTAAAATAACTTTAATTTGAATATTAAAATATTTAAAAGGTAATTTATGTGAAGGCAAAGCTGTCCCAGTCTTCAGTGTCACATGATCCTTCAGAAATAATTCAAATATACTGAGTTACTGCTCAAAAAAAATTCTAATTATCAATTTACTGTAGAAATTCAAAATAATCTATAACATTATACAAGGCTTTACTGTCACTTTTGATCAATTTAATGCATCTTTGCTTAATAAAAGAAAAAGAAAAAAAAAGACACTGAACCCAAAATTCGGAACGGTAGTATACAGTATATGTGATTAATTGTGATTCACTTGATTAATTCGTCAGCATATCACGCACGTACTGTAATTAATTCGATTGACAGCTTTTATATTTTTATATCTTAAATATCATGTGATTTATACAGGGATTACCCAGAATTAAATTTTTATGATTCATTACTTTCAACATGTAATGGGAAAACACAATGTTGATTTGACATTTAGCCTCATCCACATGAACATCATCACGAGACAATGTAATCATGCAAGAACACAGACCGACATCATGCTGATACACAGATACGAGCACTGACCTCTCCTATTGCTCTCTTATAGCTCTGAGGGCAGGAAGAGGGAGGAAAAGAGATCAATGAGAGGAGAGAGGGGTGAGAAGGATAAAGGGAGAGGAGGAAAATGTAAGGAACAGAGGTTAGTGTTTAGAGGAGGGCTGAGTGTGTTCATTCTATACCAGACACGGGCGAATGATTTGGGACTCTATGTGCATGAGTGTGTGTATTTACATGCTACTCATATGTTTATGTGAATGTGTGTGTCTGCATCTCACCGCTGGTCTGCTGGGTCTGGATGAGGTTCGGGATTCTCCTGGTTTGTGTCGGCCGTCATGAGAAAGGGTGGGGGAGGAATCCATTTTGGATGAGCCTGAAATAAACCCGCAACATTATATACACTTCATTTTTAAGAGTGTAGGGTTTGTCTGCAGCAATTAGAAAGATTCCAAAAAGGGGTTCTCACCACAGAACAACCATTTTGGGTTCTCCAAAGAACCTTCTTAAAAGACTCATTATTTTCTTATTCCGAAAAACATTTCAATAATTTTGTGTAATGGAAAGGTTCCATGGATGTTAAAGGTTCTTCATAGAACCATAGATGGAAATAAAGAACCTTTATTTTTAACAGTATATCCAAAAAATGTACTTTTCCTAATTATTATTTATGAATCATTGTTTTAAATTGTGCATGTCCCCAGGTGTCCCCAAAGAGGGGTTTAGCTATCTTTCTCTATGAGTTAATGATATTTTCAATTAAGTTTTTTCTGTATTTTCACATTCTAAGCAGTCCCACCAGGATTTCACGTACAATTACCTGTAAATATTTTTGAAAATAATCACTGAAATCGTGGTCCTGGTACTCCATGCACAAGGCATTGGAGGACAGGTGAACATTGATTAATGTGTTTTAGCTGTTTTTTGATTAGCTAATATTGTTTTTCCCACTCTCAAGTTAACATTTTCAACAAAAATGCATGCTGATGCAAATAAATAAAAAGAGTTTGCTTGATTTCACTTTAAATTCCATGATTGAAAAATCACAAAATCATGGAGGGTCTGACTAAGAAATGATTTAGTATGGTAATTAAGCTGTTGTCCCCGCAACATAGGTCATTTCAGGCTGTACTACCCTTGCGGGGAGATGTGGTGCCACAGTGTTGGCAAAACCTGATCTACACAACACTCACTGAGTATGCGGTGTCGTTCTAGAGAGCCGGTCTGTGGCAGGTTGGACATGATGCTCATGCTATCTCCTCTCTCCCAGCGCTCATTGCGACTCAGATCAGGATTACTGACACAGAGAGAACACACAGTACAGGAGTCAGTGCAGTCAAATTATTTGTGTAACAGCTGGATGTGTGTGTATGTATGTTACCTTGCTCGAACTGGGTGTCTAATGCCGGAGGAGAGATTTGTGTTCAGTGCAGTGGCTATGGAGGCTGTTCTCTGGGGAATCTAAAAGAGAAACAAGGGGTAAAGTATTATGGGAAAACTGTACATTAATAAGTGTGATATATGCAACCACTGATTCCATTTGTCTATTTTGACATGCTGTTTTAGTGCCCAATCCTGATGAGTTCTACAAAACCTGTATGATTATTTTGTCTTACTTTAGGAGGTTGTTCAATCTCAGGAAGACGGATCCAGGGTCCCCGGTCATCTCTCATTGGCCGAGTCTGAGGGGCAGGGGTCTCTGAGGTGGGGTCAGAGTTTTGACGGACTAGTTCTCTGGAGTGTAGAGGACGAGGTGTGGGTGTGGGAGAGGGATCCTGGGTGGGGAAGGCGGACATGGTCTTAGTGGGCTGATCGCAAAGAGACTGAGAGCGAGGGACAGGAGCGGCATACGGTTTTAAAGGCACCAGGTGGGCCATCTGGAACTATGGCAGATGAACGAACAGGAGTGGAGACGAGACAGAAAGTAGTATGTCAACGTAAGAAAAAAGTGGGAGAGTGAAATGTTTTTTTTTTTTTTTTTTTGAGGAGACCGATAAGTCAGGATGTTTTTACAAAAGGGGTTTAGATGAGTGGAAATCAGTAAAGCAGTTGTGCAGAAACAGGATTGTGCCATGCAAAGAAAGGAAACAGGCCACCGGGGTTGGGTAGCAGAGAAAGGTAGAAGATCCAGCGCAGGATATGCAAGTGATGAGGAAGTTCCCGAAAATGATGGAGGATTACAGAGGAAGCAAGTGGGCCCCACAGGAAAGAAAGAGAAGAAAATAAGAAAGTCATTAAACAGAGAGAGTAAAGAGTTAGCCAGAGCATGCAGCATTTAAGAACAGAAATGATGGCATCCTCCCTCTAATTATTATCCTTTCAAAAGTTTAAGGTCAGTTTTTATTATTATTTAATATTATTTTAAACAAAAAAACACTCTGAATTGTACTTGAATTGACAGCCCTAATAATTTTATCACTGTTTTGGAGGTATGACTACTGAGTTTACCAAACTGAAATTTTACTGATTTACAAAGGGGGGGAAAAAAGACAGGTTGCACACCTTTCCCTGCCCACCCTGTGGTTCCACAGGTCTCTGCATAGGTGGGGTCTGTGCAGCTCCTGATTGGCTGATTGATTCTGACCGGGACTGGATATTGGTGTCAGACACTGTAGTGCAGATTTTAGGAGAGCCCTGTCTGTTCAGTTTACTGCGCTCCTCAACCTGAGAAACCAAACATAAGAGTTTATATTCTGACAGTTCAGTTCAGAGAGCTACTGTCCTCAGCAGGTTGCAAGTGTACCTCTCTAGCCCAGGTTGGTTTGTTGTTCTCTAGGTTCTTGCTGTAGTGGTACATCTGTGGTTTCTTGTCTTGTTGCTGCTGTTGCTGCTGCAGTGAGACGAGGTATGCGTGCTCCTGCTGCAGCTGTCTCTGAAGTCTTTCTGACTGTCTCTGCTCCTCCAGCTGTTTACGCTTATACTCCTACACACATATGAACAAACAATGAATACCTTTTTAACTGGCAAAATGTGACTACTGGAATTGCAGGCACAAAAAAAAACTGTTACATAGCACAGCACACTGTCTCACACACACACACACACACACACAAACATATGCCCCTTCCCAACATGCAAATGAAATAATTATGAATTAATGAATAATGACACACAGAACATGATTATTTGAGTTTTACACAGTACAAAGCGTTTACTGTTAAACTGAACAAAGAAAGAAAAACATTTCCTTAGCTGTACTGTACAATTCTTTCCTCAAAGATTTAAAGCAATTGAACAATTTGTAAAATAGACGTAGTGTATTGGGTACACAGAGATGTAATTATTGTGTGTAATTATGTTATGTTGTTGCATATTGATATTTTGACCGTATCCCCAATTAAACTGCAAATTTAAAATGAAACCAATCCAAGCAATATAAACGATCAAATCAACCCTTCATGATACATTGACTAAAACACGCACAGGGTTTTGACACATAAATGAGCCAAGTTTGATGAGTTTCACTTTAGTAAAGGTTCATCTGCTTTAGAACAGAGGTCTAAATCAAGTTTATACTTCTCCAAGGCCCAAAGATCCCCTCAGACCCCAGAAGGTTGAACCTGTAGGTTTCTTTTTATATATATATATATATATATATATATATATATGAGCAAAAATGCATTTGACTGAAAGTAAAGACATTTATAAATGTCACAAAAGATTTCAGTTTAAAAAAAAAATCTGTAATTTTGAACTTTCTACTCAAGAATCCTGAAAAAATGTTTTCAGGACACATATTTATACGGTAGCATGTTCAGTACCATACTGAACTTAAATGTACTTCCATAATTTATTTTAACGCTTTCATTGCAAAGTCATTAACATAGTTAAATAATTATTTACAAGGTCATATACTACTTGAATATACATATACATTTTAAGTTTACTTATTGCTTTATTTTAATTTGGGAGGGTCAATAAAACATTTAGCTGAACTTGGGCTTCTTAGCTTTAGCTTTTTAACTTTAGTTAACTTTAACTTAATACAGGTGCATCTCAATAAATTAGAATGTCGTGGAAAAGTTAATTTATTTCAGTAATTCAACTCAAATTGTGAAACTCGTGTATTAAATAAATTCAATGCACACAGACTGAAGTAGTTTAAGTCTTTGGTTCTTTTAATTGTGATGATTTTGGCTCACATTTAACAAAAACCCACCAATTCACTATCAACAAATTAGAATACTTCATAAGACCAATAAAAAATATTTTGTTAAATGTGAGCAAAAATCATCACAATTAAAAGAACCAAAGACTTAAACTACTTCAGTCTGTGTGCATTGAATTTATTTAATACACGAGTTTCACAATTTGAGTTGAATTACTGAAATAAATAAACTTCTCCACGACATTCTAATTTATTGAGATGCACCTGTACTGTATTTTCCTTCAATGCATATTTTCTTAAAATAATTGAAGACTCCTGTTCCAAAACATTTAAAGGGATAGTTCACCCAAAAATGAAAATTAATTACTCGCCCCCATGTCGATCAAAACCCGTAAGACCTTCGTTCATCTTCGGAACACAAATTAATATATTTTTTGATGCATTCCGAGAGCTTTCTGACCCTACCATAGACAGCAATGTAATTAATATGATCAACGTCCAGAAACGTAGCAAGGAGATCGGTAAAATAATCCATGTGACATCAGGGGTTCAACCGTAATTTTACGAAGCTACGAGAATACTTTTTGTACGCAAAGAAAACAAAAATAACGACTTTATTCAACAATTCGTCTCATCTGCGTCACCCTAGCACCATTTTGGAGAGTATCCACTGAACGCAAACAGCATATTCTGTTCTGTGTCTGACGCACCACACGGATACATTGTTTTCATTCAAATCAAAGCGTAAATAAACGTAGAAAACGTATCAGTGGATACTCTCTAAAATGGCGCTAGAATGACAGAATTTTCATTTTTGGGTGAACTATCCCTTTAAAAACAATCTGTTCCAAATTCCCCACTCTGATTCCAGCAGTTGTTTGATCATTAAAACACTATTTAGGAGTCCCGTAACATGAGTCAAAACTGGCTGAGGACTGACAAGACCAGAGCAAAGAAACAGAGGTAAGAGAAAGAAAGGTGTGTGTTACCATTAGCAATGCCTGCTCCTGCAGTAATTGCTGCTGCAGTATCTCTAACTGCCGCTGCTCTTCCTCCAACTTATGTCTTATAAACTCCTATAGAGAGAGAGAAATGGGGAGCAGTGGAGGAGGAGGAGGAAGAGACGGATCAGAATAGACTCAAAAGGATAGAATAAAAAGATATTTGAGGGAGTGGACAGATACACCTGTATGTGTGCAGCCTCTGAAGAAAGAGGCAGACATTTTAAAGAAGTGTTTCTGATGGGCTTTTTAAAATGGCTGAAGACACAGAGTGAAGAGATTTGTTCCACGTGCTTCATTCACCTACCGCGGTAGAGCCGTAACATCACACCACTTTATAATCTTAAAATGGCACACAGCGAGTGTTTACAAGTGGTTCCTGTCACTCCGAGGAATGTGTTGCGTATGCGGTTGTTTTAAGCAGGACAACTGAAGGAAGTGTGATGTGAGGCATGTACATGTGAGGTCGTTTTGAAGAGTGTGTCCTGTGGCACACTGTGCACTAATTCATGCCGATTGGTCTTTTGTGTTTCTGTCAGTTTGAATTGTATTGAATGTAGGGCTGCACACGGCTCACCCACACACACACACACACACACACAGCGTTTGAGAGCCTGCTGCCATGGCAACCACTCCACAGACATTCCAGGACCAGAGCTGTGCTGAGTGGAATGCCCACGCTCTGCCGCGATTGGCCGGCCGACTGCAGTTCTTTGGCTGTGATTGGTTACCTGCTCTCTCTCTGCCATCCTCCTGTCCTCATCTCGTCTCATGTCATCGAGTCTCCGGTGAGGAGCTTTATCCTGTTGCTGCCGCACCATCTCTCTCTCCTTCCTCTGTTGCTGTGCGTGTGAGAGAGAGAGAGAGCGAGAGAGAGAGAGAGAGTGAGTCACTTTAACATATTTGGCTGAAATAATAAGAGCCTTCCTGCTGCTAAAAAAAAATAAAAAATCTAATGCTTTTGAGAGGGGAAATTAAGGGGGAGAGAACGAGTAGCATAGCCAGAGAAAAGATTAAAATGAGGGAGAGTGAAAGTGACTAAGACACTGGGCACCGTTATGGTGAGAAAGGGTGAATATAGTGATACTGGCGAGTCAGTGCACTGCGGCGCTGTGTTCAGTAGGTTAGTGGCTAGATGGTGCTGTGTGCTGGTGGCAACCTGTAGATGGTCTATACAGTGTGTTATTTATTTATTTATGATTTAACGCCATGTCATGAGACCACTGGTGAAAAGTTTTTTTTAAATACATTTGTTTAAATTACAAATTACATAATTAGACTAACAATTAACTCCTCATGTTTATGTAAAACTTGATGATCATGTTCTCTAAAGATTATTTGAGAAGGTCCAAAGAAGATTCAATGTGCTTCAATGGAAGATCAATGACACAAACATACTAAGTATTATTATTATTATTATTATTATTAATTACCGTTTAAAAGTTTGGAGTATGTAAGATTATTAAAGGGATAGTTCACCCAAAAATGAAAATTCTGTCATTAATTACTCACCCTCGTGTTGTTCCAAACCCATAAAACCTTTGTTCATCTTCAAACACAATTTAAGATATTTTTTTTTTTAAATCTGAGGACTCTCTGACCCTGCCATAGACAGTAAGGTAACTACCACGTTCAAGGTCCAGAAAAGTACCAAGATGATCAACAAAGCAGTCCGTGTAACATCAGTGGTTCAACTGTAAAGTTATGAAGCTACGAGAATACTTTTTTGCGCAAAGAAAACAAAAATAATGACTTTATTCCACATTTTTGTCTCTACGCCTCACTTTGGACGCGCATTTACGACAGTACCATGACGCGAGCGTGTGGCAGCGCTGACCCAGATACAGCGTGATGACGTCACGTAGTTACCTTGCGGTCTATGGGAGGGGTCAGACAGCCGTCATATTTCATCAAAAATATCTTAAATTGTGTTCGAAGATGAACGAATGTCTTATGGGTTTGGAACAACACAAGGGAGAATAATTAATGACAGAATTGTCAGAAACTAACCCTTTAAATATTTTTGAAAGTCGTCAAACCAGTAATATTGTGAAAAATTATTACAATTGAAAACGCTTGAATATATTTTCAAATGTAATTTATTCCTGTGATATCAAAGCTGAATTTTCAGAAGCCATTAGTCCAGTCTTCAGTGTCACTTGATCCTGCAGAAATGTAATACTAATATGATGATTTGATGCTCAAACATTTCTTATTATTGTTGTTAAAATTACTTGTGCTTGTTTTTTTTTAAATAAATTTTTAAAGAATTCATCTAATAGAAAGTTAAAAAACAGCATTTAACACAATAAAAATATTATAAATAATATAATAACATATACATATATAAATAAAAGTATTACTACACAAATTTTTTGTGGTAATGTATTATTAAACTAAAATATGGTCCCACTTTATATTAAGGAGCCTTAAAGCTGCAGTCCGTAACTTTTTTTTGGTTAAAAATGATCCAAAATCAATATTTGAGCAAGTACATAACCTGGCAGTGTTCAAAACTATCGCCTTACTTTAGCCCGATTCACAACAGTTGGCTTATAATAATGTTTTCTAATTTGAGTGGTATTGGTAAGAATTTGCGGGAAATTCGAGCATGGCACTGCGTCATTACGTCACGTCTGTAAACATAAAGAAATTGTCCCGGCTACTAGGCTATCGCATGTGAGGATCCTGCAGGTGGCGGTTTATAGCCTTTTCTCGCAGCAGCTGGAATAATTAAATGTATCATTTTGATGGCAGATTGTAATCCATAAAGGATTGTGTGTTTATGAAACACATGTGAATGAAATTAAATTATACTCCAGTTATAAACGTGCTTCTGATTACAGATAGCCTGGGATTACAAAGATTTGTATTTTAAAGAAAACCAGTTCGAAGGGAGCATACTTTGCTTTTTGGGTTAAAAGAATTTCTTAACATGAAATTCGAAGAGTATGACAATTAGATTAGACTGTGCAGAAATTGAAATCTACACGCTAATACACACTATACTCATAGTCACCAATGCTGATGTTGTTAACATTAATCATTTGAGAATAAAGTATAACAATAATAATAATTTGAACGGTTTGATGTGATATGAGCTAACCGATCTTTAGATTTAATCACCATTGGTAGCGAGATTTATGGTAATGTTTTTTTCCTCAGTTGGTCAGAACAAACGTGGCAGACTTGTTACTTACTTGTTCAGATGGCAATATACGGTGAAAATTCTTATTTGGGTCATATTCCAAGACGTAGGATAGAATCTGTGATTGTGAAGTACAGTAAATAGCCACACCGGTGCGGTGACTGACTGCCACACATACTCTTCAGAACATTAGATTCATCCGCGCTGGAGCCGTGCCGACTCACAACCCACGCAAACTAGATAATTCCGCACACAGCTGCAATTCCAGGTTTTCAAACAGAGATGGCGACAAAGAGGTAAAACTTACGGACTGCAGCTTTAACTACTATGTACTTACATTTAAATGAATAATTTGATACAATGCACTTATCCAGTAAATACATGTTTTTTCATGGTACTTATATTTAAAAAAAATACCTGCATGTAATTACATCTGTAATTATTTTCTGTAATTACATTTATAGTTACACTGTTGACCCCTCCCTTACACCTTAACCCACCCTTAAACCTACCCATACCACCAAACCTGTCCCTAACCTTACCCATATCCCAACTCAATGGCAGCATGTGTTTTGCAATACAATATGAACACAATAAGTATATTGCACTTATTTTTATGTAAGTACATAGTAGTTAAAGCCACTTTTCTCATATTTTCAATGTGGTCTCAGATTTTTGTATCCTACTATATATAGTTAATTTAGTGCTGTATTCTGTAGCCCCCAGCAAACATGTCTTGATCCCACATGGACTTGATTTAATTAGCTTAAGCTGTAAGGGGCTTGACTTTGAGAATCTCTCTTAGAGTATAAAGGCAGACATGAATATAATGGCTTATGATGCTTAGTACATAACAAATACAAACACTCCTTTGTGCTGTAGCCTATTCCTTACCCCATGTCTCACTCAGCTAATGCAGTGCTAATCAGCCATTGTGTCCTTTCACGTTCAGGGACAATGACCGCTCAAACTAATTAAATTAAAAATTTGACTTTGCACAGTAGTTCTCACTCATTTAACTTGCTCGTCTCTCTCAAATCTACCTATATGTATGTCACAAAATTCCACAGATACTTCCCTCTGTTCATTCTAATGAACAGAGAGCAGCTCTAGATAAGATAAAAATGTTCAGCAGTTCAAACAAACACTGCTGTAAAACTGGCTCTGAAGTATGTGTTTTTTTAAAACATCATGGAATATTCTAGGACAGGAGATAAAATCTACAATACCGCAATGATTAGATCACCAACCAATGAAAACTGTGCCATTATTTACTCCTCATGTCATTCAGTAACTGTAACACCTTTCAAGAATATACTGGCCACTTTTTTAAACATTATGAAAGCAAATAAAGACTGGGACCGTTACACTTCTGGAAGTGATGAATAGATCAAGATTTAAGTCATTTTGGAGATCGACAGTCCTTGTCATTTATTCATTTACATTATAATGAAAGAGTTGACGAAGGAAAGGAAGTGAGCATCATTTCTGGTTAACCATCACAATAATCTTTACAAAAAATAAATAAAATTTGGCCAGTATGTTTATACTGGCACCTTACATGATTGGCACTCTTCCCATATCATTTCCTGTTAGAAAAGAGATCACGTTCAGTAACTTTAATGTGCACGTCTAAGATGCATACCTCCTCCAAGCGACGCCTCTGTTCTTTCTGCTCCTCTATCCGCTTCTGTCGGTCATGCAGCAGCTGGCGTTTGTGCTCCTCAGGGTCTCTGCGCTGAGCAGCGAGCTGCGCCTGCTGTCTCTTTAAGGCCTCTGAGCGCTCCTTATTCTCCTGCTGCAGCCGCAGGAAATCCCTCCGCAACGTCGACTCACCAGGAACATTCAAAATGGAGCTTCAGACAGACATAAACAATTCAAGAAGAGTTAGCAGATATAAACAGAGTTTAGAGTAGAGGTTGGGCAGTGAAGACAAAGTTCCGTGGTTTTCAAGAAGGACTGCAGTACGTTCATTTCTTTCTCAGGTACATAAGTGTCATGTACTCATGTGCATTAAAGAATTGATCCATGTTGAATAATAAGGAGCCATCTAGTCAATTCAATTGACAGTACATTAAAAAACATACATACAGACAGTATGTATGTTTTTCTTTAAGTCTAACAGTATTATTAAAGAGCCGGATGTTTACGTGTCAGGGGTGAGGCTGCAGGTAATGCCTCAATATAAATATCTGGGAATACTGATTGATTCTAAACTTACATTTAAAGCTCAAGTTGTGACGTGACGTGACATGTGACCAAGTATGGTGACCCATACTAGGAATTAGTGCTCTGCATTTAACCCATCCTTAGTGCACACACACAGCAGTGAACACACACACCGTGAACACACACCCGGAGCAGTGGGCAGCCATTTATGCTGCGGCGCCCGGGGAGCAGTTAAAGTTAAAAAGGTTTGTAAGCAGGTTAAGTTTAATTTCTATAATTTTAAGTTTATTAGAGATTATATGTCATTAGAGGCAGCTAAGATGTATATGTATTCTATGGTTATTTCTCACATGACTTACTGTTTAACCACCTGGTCTCAGGCGAGTTCAGTGACTCTAAAACCATTAGAGTCTTCTGAAAGAAATCGGTACATTATCATCATTGTCTAATACTGAACAAATATAATTTGTTAAATTGGGAAAACATGGTTAAGTATGCAAATGTATGCTTGATGTATAAAATTATTTATGGTTTATCTTCTCCCCCTCTTAGTCAGTTAGTTAGTATTAGAACAACTGATTATCGTTCTACAAGAGGTGCATTAAGAGGAGACTGTATCATACCGCTTAGACGAAATAATTTTAGTCAGTCTGCTTTTTCTGTCAAAGCTGCACGAGAATGGAATACTATTCCGACAACTATCAGAGATCTAGACACATATGCTTTATTTAGGGTTCAGAAGAAGAATTGGTTAATTAGCACTCCGATTTGTCAACACTAGAATTTTATATTTGCTAGCTATCCTATTATTGATTGTATCTTGTTTGCATTGTTTTTATTTGATTTCATTGTTTTTTAATAGAATACTGTATGATTTTAACTATGTAATTATAAAATTTTGTAGTATGTATTTTTAATGAAATTTAATTTTAGGGTGACTTGTCCAGGGGCTACGGATGTAAAATAGCCTTTGGCTAATTCTGGTACATTTACAGGAATGTTTTATTAATGTACAATGTACCGGTCAACGAAATAAAGTAAAAAATAAAATAAAAATTCAATTCAAGTTTATTTGTATAGCGCTAAATGATACCATTTGTTGCAAAGCAGCTTTACTGAAAATTAAGTTTCTACAATATATTTAGTAGTAGCTTGTCAGTGGTGACTATGTCAAATTGATGTACATATGGCAGAAATGTATGGTAAAATTCAGTTAATGACGTAATCAAACAAACGATGAACACTAACAGCAATGATCTATGCAGATAAAACAGTTCCCTAAACAATTTCATTAAGGGTGAAAGAGTAACTTCTACCCACAATTACAAAAATAACAATTCACTTCCAAATAGCAGATTAATAGTCATGTTTTGACAAACAGGAAAGTCCCGCCTCAAACAAACAAAAGCTTACCTATTCTTCACTCATTCAGACATGTACAGACAAGTCCAACTCAAGTCTCAAATCTTTTCTCATACGTTTTTTTTAATCAAAAGATAATTTCATTGAAGCAAAGTTTCTATTAAGTTATGTACTAGTTCACTTAAAGTCTCAAATCAGTCATCTACATGTCAGTTATCTACTAGTTTAAGTGAAGTCTCAAGCTAGTTATCTACTAGTTTGTAGTAGTAAGTTATCAAAGTTATCAACTATTTAAGTCACTGGCAAATTATCTACTAGTTTAATTCTCAAGACAGTTATCAACAAGTTTAAGTCATCTTAAGTCAGTTATCTATTAGTTTAAGTGAAGTTTCAAGCTAATTTAGTTACCAATTTGAATCTAATCTCAAGTGAAATTACCAATTTTGATGAAGTCTCAGGTCAGTTATTTAGTAGTTCAAATCGAGTTTTAAGTCAGTTATCTCCTAGTATAATCAAGTATAATAGCTTATCTAACAGGTTAATTTTCGAACAGTCCAGTCTCAGGTCAGTTATTCAGTAGTTTAAGTCAAGTTGCAAGTCAGTTATCTCCTAGTATAATCAAGTCTAATAGTTTATCTAACAGGTTAATTTTCTACTAAGTTTTCTAACAAGTCGAGTTTCAGGTGAATTATCAAGTAGTTTAAGTCAAGACCCTAAAGTTAAACTAATGTAGAGTTTCCATCTTTAAACTGGGATAGGAGAACATCATAAAATTTACAGACATCAAGTTAGTGAGTGAATACTAAATGTCAATAACATTGCAATTAAAATGATCTGGGGGCGTTTCTGCAGCGTTGTGTAGTGCTATGTATGGTTGTGTAAACACAGATGCTGCCGTGTTTACCTGGATTCTCTCTCATCTCCTCTGTTCTCATCCTCTTCATCACTACCGCTGTACTCGTACTCGGTCTCCTCTGAGAGGAATCAAGACAAAATGAGAAAGAGAGAGGCAGAGAGAGGGAGAGGAGGGCAGGAAAATAATGAGAAAGGCTTTAGGCATTAATATAATATGGCTAAACACAGTTTATGTAGACTGCAGCACTTTTAGAGTCTAAATCTTCTGCATTCTTCCTTAACTGATACTGTATATGCTCTAATAACACTGCTGAAGGCTGCTGGCTGGATGCATTTTTAACTGTTCCTTGGTCTTCATATCCAAAAAGAAACATAATTCAAGCACAACTGTGCTATTTGATTACACTACTGACCACAGATCTCACGACTTACTCTAAGCTACGCCAGTTATGTGCAAGCACCACTTTTGCAAGCCAAGTCCACCTCTGATTGGATGGGAGTTTTAGTGACCTCACTGCGCAAAGGCAAGTAAACAAACTTTATTCAACATTCTGTTCCACCACAGATCCCCGGCGTGCAAATGGATGGATACATAATCATCTATAGTCGCAGAGGAGCACCTGCATCTATCCTGACTCTTAAAACAAAACTAATTCAAAAACTGGATTAATTATTAAACACTTGTATCAGAAAATGTGGAACAGAAAGATTCTGTCTTGGGTTTCTGTGATTGACAAAGCTCTACTGTTCTTGTCTATAATCATTTGTCAAGACATGCAACAACACACATAAACATACCTTTTTCGCCGCGTTTCTTGCGTGTGCGGTCGATGTGATCTTTGAGCTGGATGCGGACTTGTCTTTCAGTGGGCTGGTCTCTGATGAACGAGTGCTTCAGTAGCTGCTCTGTGGATGGACGACTCGGATATGACTTCACAAGACAGCCCTCGATGAAGTCAATGAACTTCTTCGACCTGAAAGAGACAGTAAAACATGAAAGAAATGAATGTATTAGCAGGAAAATAAATTCAAGACAAAACCCGATTATGGAATGCTGTTGTAAAGGGCAATAGGGAATGCCCTACAATGCGAAAGCTTTTCAGGCCAGTTGGTGGTACAGCTACTTGATCCATCGGGTAAGTGCTGCATTAACACTACATCACTCGTTGACAAAGTCAATTTCTTTTTATGCCACGAAAACACAGGGTTTTCTGTTATATATAAAATACTTGTTGCTGTGAATTCTACTGATTTCTAGGTCACTAATCAAAAAGGTAAAGTCAGCTAGCTAACAGATGAAATGCTGTTGAAAATGGGCAAATACGTTGTGACATTCTTGGAAGCTGCAGTTAGAAGGAGCTGAAAATGACTGATAAATAAGCAATATTTTACACTGTACGCACTGTATAACAACGTTATATTATTAATACTGTAAAACTTTTTGTAAATAAAGTAACTTGTTTGTTTTGCTAAAAACACATTTAATGAAAAAATAAATACACCATGTGTGTTTGGGGATTTTTTGATGCTTTTGAAAGAAGTATCTTATGCTCTTAAACAGTAATAATGTGAAATAGTATTACAATTTAAAATAATGATTTTATATTTGAATATATGTGATGGCAAAGCTGAATTTTCATCAGTCATTACTCCAGTCTTCAGTGTCACATACGGTGGTTTTGTGTTTGAGACATCTCTTTATATTATCAATAATAAAAACGGTTGTTGGTTAACATTTTTGAAAACTGTTCAAAAGAACAACATTTATTTGAAATAGAAATCTTTTGTAACATTATAATTGTTACTGTCACTTTCAATTTAATGCACTCCGTGCTGAATAAAAGCATTTCTTAAAAAAAAACAAAAAAATTCTACTTTTAAGCAGTGTAGAATAGATTTCTTCCTGACATAGAAATAAGCATTTTAAAACAAGAAAACTCCTCCTTGATTATATAACTTTCAATATCAAATTTTAAAGAAAAAAAATCTAACAAACAAATACGAACAGAAAACACAGAAAGAAATGGCTGTTTTAAACAGTCAGGAAGCAGAGTGTTACACATCATTGCTAACAAGACACAATGCAGTAAACTGAAACATGGCTGCCTTTAAATCCCAGCCCAACATATGCTCCATCTCTACTTCTTATAGCCAGCTGTTCAAGGGCAGGGCTCTGACCAGAAGGACTAAAATAACTCCAACCCGAAAACTAAATCACAGCATGCCAATATATGACAACTACAACCAGCCACCAGAAAAAAAGAAAAAAAAAACATGAAATGAATGAAGAAAGAGAAAGCATTTTTTGTCATACAAAGCACTCTATATGTGCGGAGATGTAGGTGGGTGTAAGAGCAAACACTGCAAGTCCGGTCTGAGAAACATTATTAAACAAGGAAACTACATATGAGAAGAGAAGCTATATGGATTGCAGCGATCATAAGTATGCAGTGCGTGTATATATAGACAAGGGAAAAAAGGGAGGGAAGGAAGAAGGAAAATATAGCTTGATCTTAAAATAACAGCTGAGACAGTGTGTCCTCACCATTTCTTGGACTTCAGTTTAGGAGGAGGGTTCCGTGGGATAAGGAACAAAGCTCGCATGGGATGCATGTCACACAACGCTGAAGGAAAGAGCAGAGCAATCAAACACGCTGATAAAAGACTCTTTCACCCATGTGTCCAATTATCAGACTAACTGACTCAAGAGGTGACAACAATTCATGAACGCAAGTAGAACAGTGACTGGGTCGCTGCTACACGCTGTCCGTGTGAGCGGGTGATTGTTTATGTGTGAGAGAGAAAATATGACTAAGTGTTGTGTTGCATAAGTTATGACAATGGAGCATAGATCGACCTCCACCTCTGATCTCCTTTTTCAGGAGTGCAAAATATCACAAAATAAATGTTGTTTAAATTGATGATTTACATTTGAGTAATCTACTAGGTACTGATTTTTTTACTTTTTAATATATATATTTTTTTTTATTATTACGCCTTTTGTTTAACTGGCATAAAAGGAATGGGGAAGAGGGAGGTTTAGTATCATTGTTCGTTTGTTTGCTTGCTTTGTAAAACATGAAATGATTAAAGTAATTTATTAAATTTTTCTTGCATACCATTGGAATCACTTCCATAATTTTTTTTTCAGCCAGCGAGTTAGAAAAACACTGACAGCCAATCAAGAATTCATTCGACTTTAAAGAGCTCGAGCATTTAAAATGGCAGACGACAACTGTACACTTATAACAAACAGAAATATTTCCTCATAAGCAGGGGTGCACATAAGTTTTTCAGCCTGGTTCTCATAAGAGAACCTGGAGATTTGGTTTGGCCCTCACACTGCACATAGTGTGACCCATTAAATATAACTATAAAAATTAATTAATAATAGTGATAATATTATTGCACTTTATTTAGTTATTTTTTTTATTAAATAATAAACAAAATAATAAAGTGTGATAATACTATAAAATATACTATACTGTAAAATAAAAAGGAGTATTAAATACAATTACAATTATTTTATATTAAACTTAAAAATAAAATGCTAATATTTACTTCTTTTTTTATATAAATTTTCATCATTTTCAACCTTAAATCAGCAGGCTTTTTTTTTTGGCGGGTTGCCGGCAAGTAGATATATGCGGTTTCGGGTTTAGCGCTGCTGATTGAAGAGCCGTGAGTCAGTGAATGAATTGTCACAGTTTAGCATTGTGCTTTGAAAACAGCAGCGGGTAGCCTAGATTTATGCTTTTGAATAGAAATCTTATACAGTACAGTTTGTCGATCTAAAATGGTAATTGTGCATTAACAGCGATCAACCATGTCGGTATGCAAATTCGCTGTCAGAACTTATTTATACAGCGCATTTTTTATTTTGATCGTGCATGCGGACCACTTATGTGCAGTGCACCCCTGCTCATAAGCCATGTACGTGCTTTGCCAGGAGTTGTTGGATAATAAAAAATAAGTTGACATCCTGAAAAGTTATCATCCATTACTTTCAACATTAATATAGTTTTAACTGAGAGTTACTGTAAATGGGCCTTCATTTCTGGCTGTCTATTTGGATTGGCTGAGCAGTGTTTAAATAGCTATCACTGCTTACAAATATCATTCCGTTTGCATTTCAGACCAAGGTATGCGAACAGTATGGTTATAGTAAACTTAAAAATAAAATGCTAATATTTACTAATACTTATTTTTTTTATATAAATTTTCATCATTTTCAACCTTAAATCAGCAGGCTTTTTTTTTTGGCGGGTTGCCGGCAAGTAGATATATGCGGTTTCGGGTTTAGCGCTGCTGATTGAAGAGCCGTGAGTCAGTGAATGAATTGTCACAGTTTAGCATTGTGCTTTGAAAACAGCAGCGGGTAGCCTAGATTTATGCTTTTGAATAGAAATCTTATACAGTACAGTTTGTCGATCTAAAATGGTAATTGTGCATTAACAGCGATCAACCATGTCGGTATGCAAATTCGCTGTCAGAACTTATTTATACAGCGCATTTTTTATTTTGATCGTGCATGCGGACCACTTATGTGCAGTGCACCCCTGCTCATAAGCCATGTACGTGCTTTGCCAGGAGTTGTTGGATAATAAAAAATAAGTTGACATCCTGAAAAGTTATCATCCATTACTTTCAACATTAATATAGTTTTAACTGAGAGTTACTGTAAATGGGCCTTCATTTCTGGCTGTCTATTTGGATTGGCTGAGCAGTGTTTAAATAGCTATCACTGCTTACAAATATCATTCCGTTTGCATTTCAGACCAAGGTATGCGAACAGTATGGTAAAAGCAGTAACGGTGGTAGGGCAAACTCATATATTCAACACTTTTTTGATTATTAATTTAAAAGCAGGAGCTGTAATGGTGACTTCAATGTTAGTGTAATGCAGCCGGTACGAGGGACTGATATAAAGTATATACATAAGGTATATGTTCTTGTTCATAATAAGGCCTGGATCCACACTGAAATATGAGGCTGCATCAGTAAACACAAAGACGGTGTACTTACGAGGTGCTCCTTCAGCCATCTCTATAGCGGTGATTCCGAGAGACCAGATATCACTCTGTTGTAAAAAATAAAAATAAAAAAGACATATGCTATTGTACATATAAAAATAAGTAAATAAACACAAACACATGCAATCAATAGAAGAATTGCAATTTTGTATCAAATAAAAAGAAAAAAAGAATAACATTAACATAAATCAATGCACTGTTTATTTTGTATTAACATTAATGCATATCATGAGCTTAAAAGTGGAAAACAAAAGAATGTTTCCACATCAATAGAGGAACCATTTCCTCTTCTGTACTCATTGAAACCGAGTGAAGGCACGCATTCAAACCAAGCAGAGAGAAAAAAAAAGTGTTGTATTGAGTATCACTTCACTAAATAATGACCAAGCTAAATATCACATATAAAAGGTTTTTATGGCAATTAATATTAGGCCTACTTTAAATGTCAATATATTAAAATTGACAATGCTTATTGACCCACACACAGGTGTACACAACCGTTCAAAAGTTTTGACTTCTTTTAAAAAATCTGACCAACCCCAAACTTTTGAACAGTGGCGTACAGCAACAGTTAGAATCTCATTTTACCCTATAATCATAGGTGGAGTCAGGATTCTCATCACAGGCAATGACTTCTGGGGCCATCCAGTATGGAGTGCCAATAAAAGTGTTTCTTCTGCCGACTGTACGATCCAGCTGTGCGCTCACCCCAAAGTCCACTAGAGAGAGAGCGAGAAAAGAGGAAGCAATCAGAGTCTGTATTATTACAGGACACTTTGTGCTTACAAACAGACTTATGAAACCTGTTGCGCAGGCCAAATGTTTATATTCATCTATGCTAATTCCTTCCCTCTCATACACGCAGACACACTCTTCCACTTCCGCCACACTCTCCCTCAGGTTGTGGTGTGTGAAGATATTTTTGTCATGGTGTCAGGCCTATATTAATGAGCTTCGGTGCTTTGCTCTAGTTGTTAAAACATGTTCTCTAATCAGACAGGATATAGGCTAGACAACACACACACACACACACACACACACTCAAACACACAAAATAGCTATGCAAATCAAACATCACTGTATCAGACAGCCCTGAACCAAAAACAAAGTTTATGAGAGACTCTGTTTTTCTTAGTGTGACAAGCAAATATCTCACTCACCGAGTTTAACCTCTGCGTTCTCTGTAAGCAGTACATTCTGTCCCTTGATGTCTCTGTGGATGACTTTATGAGTATGGAGGTGAGACAGACCCTGAGGAGCAGAGTGACAGTGTTTACTGGCTGTGCGACATTACATGTAATTACATGAAACTAAAAGATTAACTCAAGTAAGGCTGCAGTTAAGTGTCATGTGTCAGATATGTAAAGTGTATTGTTAAAGCTGACATGAAAAGGAAATTGTGATCCGTCTTCTAGGGCTGAACGATTAATCAAAATCAAATTGTAATCGCGATTTGGCTTGTTGTGATTATTGAATCTGCTCATCTCTGCATGCGCTGCGAGTTTGAGCCGCTTATAATATGCATCTAAAAAAGCAACACACGCCAAACATCCTCCCCAACTTAAGAAGCATTTATAAACCTGCTGTCCAACAAAAGAGAACATTTAATAACATGATTTTACTCCACAACACCAATCAAGTTCATTTTCTGATCTGATGTGGCTTCTTATCACAGAATGAGGCAGTAAATATATTCTAAACTGTAATAAAGGCTATGTAAATTAGCATTGGATTATAAATTTACTATTTATTATTATGGAAATACCCAAGATGACTTGAAGAGCACAGATAAACCATAGTGTCACCTTGTGTGTTTACGGTTTTCATGTGTCATCACTTCAAGTGTTTCTATATTCTTTTTATTCAATCACAGCAATAGCTCACTGCAGAGTAAATGGGTTTAGCTTACGTGTAGCTCTCCTCGCTAGACGTCTAGGGGAAACAGCAAATGTAATTTGTGCCCATTGAGTAAAGCTAAATTATCCAACCACACCTTAACCCTACCCACAGTTCTATTCCTCCACCCCATTAGATGTCCAGAGAGGAGGAGCTGGAAGTCATTTGACTCTGTAGTGAGTACCACTTGGCGATAGCTGGATGCCATTGTCCATATTAGGGATTTCCTGGAATGTCATTAGTTCTATTACTTCTGTGATGCATATTTGAAGTTTCCTTGCTGTTTTTTTTATTTGTTGTAAAAATCCCATTTTAAATCACAAATCAAAATTTTAATCAGAAAAATCACAATTAGACTTTTTTTCCCCAAATCGTGCAGCCCTATCATATTCTCCTATCATTTTTTTAAACTAAGCACACATAAATCATTTATAATAAGCACTGCAATATTTAAAATCCTGTATCAAATGAAGGCCCACCTTCTGAAATACGAAATGTGCTGTGATTGGTTAGCTGGGCCAGTGTGTGTTGTGATTGGCAGCACTCGGCACCTGGTCGGGAAATGTCATGCCCCTTACCATAGCCGCCTGCGAGCTTCAGTGTAAATATTGCGTCAAAATCAAATCAATTTGAGCGCAATATAAACCCAGATGATTGTAAGCACTCTAAGTTTGTCTGCCTTGGGAAAGCTAGTCTGTCTCCGACATAGTGATAACACTCATTGCGTTCTCTAGTGCAGCTCAACCAGGTCTCCTCCCAGTCGTCGATATTTGTTAAATATTGCGTCAAAATCAAATCAATTTGAGCGCAATATAAACCCAGATGATTGTAAGCACTCTAAGTTTGTCTGCCTTGGGAAAGCTAGTCTGTCTCCGACATAGTGATAACACTCGTTGCGTTCTCTAGTGCAGCTCAACCAGGTCTCCTCCCAGTCGTCGATATTTGAGATATCACAAATCCCGGAAAATATTGTAGTCCAAACGAGTCGTTCATTGTAGTTTTTGAAAAATAATTTCTGTTAAATAAAATATTTTCCGACTTTTGAAGTGGACTTTGAGCTTTGTAACTTCGCAGATCTCTTTTATGCTCAAACAGCAACATTACAGACTAACTAAAGTTGAAAAAGTGAAAAAGCATAATAGGACCCCTTTAATGTTTTTGTCTTGTCGCTCCGGCCGGACAGGGCATCACAGTATGGTAAGGGGTGTAACATTTCCTTCACACGCTTGAGGAATTCAGCCAATCACAACGCACTGGATAGCTGGCCAATCAGAGCACACCTAGCTTTTCAGAACGATGAGCTTTGTAAAAATCGACGCGTTTCAGAAAGTTACTCAATCAAGACCTCTGTAGACCAATCAAGACCTTCATAGAGGAGTAACAATAATGTACATTGTGGAAAATAATGTTTTTTAACCTTAAACCGCACAAACACATTTCATTACACCAAATACACAAAACAATGTTCTTTTTAGCAGAATCATATGACCCCTTTAAGCTCTCTCGATGCAACAAATGCCTCGTTTATAATGGGTTTTAATGTTTTTGTCTCGTCGCTCCGGCCGGACAGGGCATCACAATATGGTAAGGGGTGTAACATTTCCTTCACACGCTTGAGGAATTCAGCCAATCACAACGCACTGGATAGCTGGCCAATCAGAGCACACCTAGCTTTTCAGAACGATGAGCTTTGTAAAAATCGACGCGTTTCAGAAAGTTACTCAATCAAGACCTCTGTAGACCAATCAAGACCTTCATAGAGGAGTAACAATAATGTACATTGTGGAAAATAATGTTTTTTAACCTTAAACCGCACAAACACATTTCATTACACCAAATACACAAAACAATGTTCTTTTTAGCAGAATCATATGACCCCTTTAAGCTCTCTCTGAAGTATTGTGTTTAACCCTCTGGGGTCTGAGGGTGTTTTGGGCTCTCATGTCTCTTTGTTGAGTATTTGCTGAGTTACAGTTCATTTTAATGACGCATCTCTAAATAAAGATCACGCAGACCAAGGCGGCAGACAGCACACCCTGTTTGCTTTCTTTATTTTATAAATGCACAAAGTTCTGTTGTTATTATGTGTGTATACATATAAAAGTAGACCCTTTACAGATTTGATTGATGTATTGCTCTTATCTGTAAGATCAAAACTGAAAGTGTAATTTAAGTTATTTTCGGTGTGATCAGGAGAAGATGCCTCAAAACGCGTATCCGCGTTAATCGACCTCAGAGGGTTAAATGGACAAATTCACTCATAAATTGTCAAAATGCCCATCTTGGTAAGTATCCTATAGCAGACATAGCCGGCTGAACGTACTTACAGTGTCTTAAAGTGACAGCACTTTCTTAGTATTAATCAAACAGCAACAACAAACAAATCACTCATTGCTCTTGACTGAATAGCGTTTGTACCTTTAATAAAGATTAATCTTTAATTTATACAGTCAAATATGCAGTGATGTTTTACATTTCATTATTCAATTTCTGTACCTAAAAACTAATGTTAGACCTACCTAAAAAAACAAACAGAAAATCACTGTTTATTTTATTTGTATCTTTACTCTATTGTATTTATTTGTGCTGTTGCTTGTAGTTAGATCATTCTTATTTTCTTTATTTTTATTTGACAGTATAGTTTTTCCCTAAACATGGCACATACCGAACCGTACTGAAACTGTGCTGCAAACCAAACCGTGAGTAAGTTGAACCGTTCCACCCCTAGTTTCTACTAATCAAAGAAAAAAAAAAGATTTTCAGTAAGGTTTTGCACAAAAATGTTAAGCAGCAACTGTTTTCAATAATAAGTCATGTTTCTTGAACACCAAATCAGCATGTTATGATTTCCAAAAGATTGTGTGATAACATATATTAAAATATAAAACAGAAATTGAAAAAAAATAATACATTGTAATAGTATTTAAAAAGATTACCGTATTTTTCGTCAAATAAATACTGACTTGGTTAGCAAAAATATTCCCATAATATATAAGATATAATATTAAGATATCTGACAGACCCCAAGCACAAAACTTCCCCAAATTTCATCAGATGAAAATTTTTATACACGTTCAAATAAAGGTACGTTATGTATATTTAACACTATATTAATTAATCATCCAAAACTACTGTAGTAAAACATAGCACTTTAAGAAATGTCACACTGTGTATAAATGTATACACCGGTCTATAAACTACATATTTAAAACTACACTAAATCTAAGCTGGATAGACTACTTCACTATCTCACTACTACCCATAAACTACTAATACACCACATCCTGTATAACCTACAGTACACACTCATTATACACAGTACATAAACTATAGCCTCACTACAGCCCATAAACAACACATTTTACAAACAATAGAGCCTGAAGTATAAATTACACCCTACACACTTTTTAAAGAAGGCTCATGTCATACATTGCAATAATTACAGAGGTATGTAGGGTTAAAATCACTACACGAGACTGTAAGAATAAAGACTTATTACACACTACATGGTCACATGGTTTCTAGATACCATTCCCCTCTTAATATGCAGACTATACGCAAGTCATTTGTAGAATGATTTATCAAAAAATAAATAAATAAAAATGTAATAAATCAACCAATGGTTCAAACTGTTAAATGAGTTTGGGGCAGGGCTATCTGTTTAACTGACCAATAAGAAATGAGGAGAGCTTTGGGGAAATCTGTTTGAAAGCAGCATTATTGTTCCAATTCTGTTTGGTTACACTAGCAGTGAGGAAATTACACAATTTAGCTTTAAACAGTGAAATTCATTTGCATTTAGTCTGTTCTTCATTCATTTTTCCTCTGTCAGCTTCCTCCACTCATCAGGGGCGGCGCCAGAGAATTTTGAACGCAGGTGCTGAGGGGGTGCTAGATCATTGACCGGGGGAGCTGGGCAATTAATAGTAAATATAACCAAAACAGGTTATTATTCTTTTTTTTATAAATAATAAAATAAATATAAGGAAAACTCGCCCACTCGATTTTGTAATATTCTCTAATTATGTAGTCCGTATGAAAAGGTGCATTTCTAGTAAAGACACGTCCATGAGGAGATGGCGAGTCAGCGTCGGAATTCGGCAACTTCATCTTTGCAGTCGACACGGACTCAGAAAGCACTAGTTTATTAATAACCAACCCTAATCAAACACACCTGAAACAGCTAATCAAGGTCTTACTAGGTATACTTGAAACATTCAGGCAGGTGTGTTTAGGCAAGTTGAAGCTAAACTCTGCAGGACACCGACCCTCCAGGACCGAGTTTGGTGACCCCTGATGTAGGGTGACCATACGTCCTCTTTTTCCTGGACATGTCCTCTTTTCGGACCTAAAAAATTGTGTCTGGCCGGGAATTTCTAAATCGTCCAAAATGTCTGGGATTCGGCTTTTGCTTTCTTCAGTCGCCATTCATTGTGCGCGTTTTTGTTTTAGAGCCCTGCGAGGGACTGATTTATTAATCCCGCTCCCGCTGAATTTCTGACCATTACCGCCCGCTCCCGTGATTTTTGTGTCCAGTCCCGCCCACTCCCGCAAACATTCTAATATAGCATATCATTTTCGCGCATCGGGGAGACACTATCAATATGCGGAGTATTTAAATCTCTTTTGAATGAGCGCTCGCTGTTCACTCTCACAATCACGCGCACTCTGTGTAAAGGAAGATCAGATATTTGTCAGTGAGCTCAGGACCTGTTGAGCAGCAAATCCTCCAGCATGATCTGTCAGTCATCTCTCCTCTCAACCTGTGATCAGTCAAATCTGACTCCTGCAGCTTGTGTTGGATGCAGGGTTGTCAAGTCCACGTTTTTTTTTTTTTCAATGGAATTGGGCTACTTTTAAACTGTTACCATGGGTTGATTTTCCCCGTTTGAAATGTTGCATAAATTACATTTGACTGAAATGCTTGTATTGAAACATTTTGCATTCTGTGATAAAACTGTGCTAGATGTTAAGTTTTGTGAAGGATGGCCACTGGTAGGAAGCTTTTTAGCTGTGTTTATGATCAATATGCATAACAGTGACTGTACATGTAGAATATGTATTTTAGGTATGGAAATTACATATTTTGAGTTTTGTTATTTGGGATATGGTCATTGCGTTAATTTGGGCATTACTTTAACCACCAACCAACCACACCACAGCCCCCCTCACCCACTGTCCTCTTTTTGGAAAACTAAAATATGGTCACCCTACTTTATGCGCAAGCTTGATCGTGGAATAGGCTATAATTAGCCTGCCTATATATTAAAGGATGGTTTAGTATATTATTATATTAATCAATATAATAACAAGGAAGCACACCATTTTTTAAATAAAATTCTATAATGGCATTACGAAAAGTGCGACAGCTGCAAATCACGTTGTTATTGCATTGCCCGAGTTATGCATGCACAATTTTTTTATTATTTTGTTTCTTTTTTCATTATCAGCTTATTTATTAAATACAATAGGCTACAGCATGCATATAATTGATTCCAGGAAAAAATTTGTGGGGGTGCTATGGGGGTGCTTTTGTCTTTCTTGGGGGTGCTGAAGTACCTGCTAGTTCCTCCCTAGCGCCACCCATGCCCCTCATCCAGGCGTCTTCGTCTCAACACGAGTATTGACAGGTCTGAGCACAGCTGCAGTGATCTGAGTTACTCTGTGTGTTATTGCACCACGCTGAGAGTGCAATGACATTCTCACACATGCCCTCACGTAAACATGCACACAACTGCTTTAAACCACTTCTGTCCTCAGTTACTCATGTACCAACAGCAGCATCTCTAATCCATCTCCCACTGAACCCTTCATCGCTCTCGCTTTCAAACACATATGGCTCATAACTCGATTCTTCTAAGAGCATAAATGGGAGATTTATTTATCATTTGAGGAGCCTTCTATTATTGCGGAGTAACAATAGGATAACATTTACTCCTAACGAAACACTGCTGTCACTCTTCCTCTCGCCCTGCATAGGTCTTACCTTGTACACTTGTCCGTAGGTGCCATTGCCCACGACCTCCACCAGCTCAAAGATTCCTGCTGGGTCCTGGAAGAGAAAGACCATTTTTAGAATGGTAAAATCATTCAATCATGCAAAACCTCCAAAGTGAAGATGATTTGGATTTAGTCTGCAATAGTTCTGTCTAATACCAAAACAAACCTTTGAGGCTTAGACCAGAAACATATTTTACGCAAGAATGTGAATGCAGATGCCACCGCTTGAACAACTTACTGTCAAACAAGCAGTCTAAACATACCTGATGTGTACTTATTGCATTGGTCTGGCAATAACAAGGAGAAGGTAGAGTTACCTTCAAAAGTCTGTGCCAATAAAACTTTTTTTTTTAAATAATTTGATGTATTTTTCCAAATATTTATTTTTTAAATATATTAACAGAACTGTTCAAGTTCTATTAGGTAACCGGAATATTTAAAGGGGTCATATGATGCGATTTCATGTTTTCCTTTCTCTTTGAAGTGTTACAAGCTCTTGGTGCATAAAAGAAGATCTGTAAAGTTGCAAAGACTAAAGTATCAAATCCAAAAAGATATTCTTTATAAAAATTAAGAGTCAACCACGCCTACCTAAAACGGCTCATTCTAACACGCCCCCACATGTCTACGCCACTATGTGGAAATATTAGCAAAATGCTGCCCAAATGTGCACGCAAAGAAAGAAGGCGTGGTTTCAGGAACAGCAGTAGTGTTGATGCAGCCATGTCAGGGAGATGCTGTGTGATTCAGTGCGAAAGCAAAATCACTTTATTTGGCCTTCCAGACGTAGATGCAATTGGGAATCATTGGTTAATTTATTTACAACAGAACAGCACAACCCAGATGTTCGAATTTGTCCAACGCATTTTATGGACGACAGTTTTTTTAACCTAGAAGAGTACAAGGCTGGCTGTTCACAATCACATTTCTAAAAAAAAATAAAAATAAAAATAAAAAAGGGGTCAATTCCGACTTTGCTATGACAATCTGGCGCTTCTGAATCAGCGACTGTAAGTATGTTTTGTTATCAATTTAAGTATTTGCGATTGACTGTTCAAATGCGGAGTTTTGC